TTTTTTGGGGGGTCGCCGCTTGAGGAAACGTATTAAGTTAAGGCATTTTTTCATACTTAGGCGGAATCGGGAGCAAACCCAGCCAAAGAGTCAGGCAAAACCCATCACACACATCATCTGAGAGAAAGCAGAGAGACATTGAACACTGCAGGGGGGCAGTGCTTGCGAGTCTTGCATGATGTGGCAAAGCTCCGTGCCAGCCCGCTCTAAGCAAGATGCTGACAACTAAGCAAGGCACCTGGTTCCTTGGCAGACAGGGAACATGAAAGATGGCCGGCCAGCAACATCCAACAACATTCGCACTAAAAATACGTCTTGCTGTTAGATCGTCACAAGGAAAATGCCAAGAAAGCTGTCAGTGATTGAGCAAAAGCGGTTTGCGTAGCTTTCAGCAGCAGGAAGATCACAACAAGGAAGATGCACAAAGGCCAAAGGTAAGAACAACCCTAACCAAGGGACCGCGAAAAAAAACAAGGCCAGTTTAAACCCTGGCATCAAGAGCCAGCCTGCCAGCAAAGCGTCCAAAGCCGGAACTTGTACTTGCCACGGGGATCGATGCACTTGGAGATGATCGCCTGTTGGAGGATCTCAGGACGTTCCGCCACGCACGCCTGAGTCACTGAGTCACAGAACTGCGCAAAGAAAAAAACCGCTTCACCCACCGCGCGCGTGCGAACCGCACGTGCCACGGAATAACCGAAACGGGCTTGGCAAAAAAATGAGCCTTTGGGCGGCAAATCAGCAAAGTACATGACCCCAGCTGAAGAATGCTGCGACATTCCTGACTGGCTGCAGCTCAGGGGCCAGAGCTGCGAGCCTCATCTCTTGATCCGTCTCCAGGGCAACAAAATGCAAACACAAATCTAGGGTTGATTCCTTTTCCATTCTTTTCAGCCATCGTTCTTTTCAAAAACCGATCGCCATTTTGCCAGGGTTTGTGGTTTTCTGGAAAGAAGGATCCCTGAAAAGAATGGGGAAGCTACCCCTAGAAAAACACACTGCTTGGACCTCCAAGTTACCATACATCGAGTTCCGAATGGCTGGAAATATGGTGGTTGAACTACTGAAGCAGCATGGTGTCAACTGAGGGCTAGCACCAATTGACGGGTCAATGTGCCCCGTGTTCATCTAGCATTTCATGTTTTCTTTCAGCGTCTAGCGCCAGCAAAATGACTGCGTCAGTGAGCTTGTTCGTGCTGCAGCCCCATCGTTTCCCTGTGTATCCCTGTCACCGCCCCCTTTGCACAGGCCATTTGGCCTTTCAGGCTGCAATTTTCCGTGGCATGCCTCAAAAAGGGCCTGGGCCACATGCACAATGGCAGCTAAGCCGCAGCCAGCAGTCACCGAGGGCCCCCTGAGCGGACTCGTTGCGTCAGAGCTGGGGGCCTCCAGCCTCTCTTTTGCTACTTCGCAAATGCCAAATGGCCATGGGTCAAAAGCCCGTACCCCCAGTGAACATCCCAATCCCCACTAAAATATGTTCTAAAATGGCAAGAGTTTGGGTGTCACAAAAGCTTCTCATTGACCTTTTGCAACTTGGGGTTGTTTTGGGGCCAGCGGGCCTGCAAGATATCATCTGCTTCAATGCCTCCCTCGAAGAGCTGGACGCCTCGGTGGTCCTGGCTGTCCTGAAGCTTTCGGTTTTCTGTGCAGTTTGGCCTGGGTGGCCAAAACAAAGGCGGCTGTACACACTTCATTTGGCAGAGGCGGTGACATGCTGAGCTGAAAGCTGAGCGGCCACCAAACGTCAGCACTCAAATTGAGGTCAAAAGCTAGGTGCAACATGTCGCGGGAAGCTTAGGCCCTGGCTTCCACAAATCCGAGACGGCTTTCTATTCATAGCCCATGTTGTGTCGGTTTCTTCAATGCCAAAATGCAAACAGTAACTTGAGTGCTGAAAGGACCCCTCTGCAACAAGTTCTTCACCTGTTGTTTGGTCATCGCAAAGTTCGAGTCCAAGATAATAAATGAAATTAGATCGTCAATGGGCCATACAACCACTAAACCAGTGGAACAAGGACACCAATGGAAAAAAACAAATCCCGTCCATCCCCTTGGTGACTCCTTTTGTGGGTCCCCTCCGGAAAAATCCAAAGTTTCGACCCAAAAGTACGAGTCCAAACTTGGTTGCTTTCCGCTCCCCTGCCACAAGTTTGTTGAACTTTTACTGTTTTTGGTGGTTTAATACGGAAATTCAAAACCCAATTAGTTGGCCAAAAGTTCTCAAGTCCTAAGATCCCTTGGCAGGACGCACCAAAGCAAAGGTCCGTATCGCCACGAAGCAGCCCAGTCCTTGCCCCCGAGCTCTGAGGCCCTGATCCACTCCGTGCCACCGCCCTGGTGCAGGTAGCCCCCAGCCTCGGCGGAAAAAGCTCACCGAGCGAGGGTGTTACTCAAACTTGGGGATGTTGTTATTTTTTCTTTCTGCTTACAAAAAAAGGCGTGGTGTCCTTTTCGTGTTCGCTCCAAAAAGCCGGCAAAACAGGAACCTGATGTTGAAAAACACTCAAAATCGACAAAGTTCCTCCAAACTGCGCTTCAGTGTGCTCAATCAACGCCCCTTCTCTGTTCAGAAGCCATCCTATTGAGCCCAATCACAACTGAAGAAGATGCAGGAGGAAGGGCAAGCCCGAAGAATCTCAAAATATCTCAAACAGCTGGCCTCTACCAGAGAGGCTTCGAGCCCTGATCAATCCCATATGCGCCCCAGGGTCGCAATTAACTCCGGCGAAGGAAACTGAGAAGAGCCATGACTGATTGTTCTTATGTTTCTTGTTTTGGTTTCAACCCTCGATGTTTTCTTGGGGGGAGGAGGTAGCTGAGGTCGGGATTTGAGCGCCCCTCCACGTCGAGGTGCTGTGTCACCCTTCAGGGCCCCCAAGCTGGTCTGTGCGGGCGGGAAGTCGGGATCCTGCAAAAAGCGTCATGCAAGACGCACCAAATGGGTGAATTCCTCTAGGAGTTAGAATCGAAACCCCGAAGGAGGACACCCGAAACAGCCAAACTTCTCTAGGTGCCCAATCCAAACCCCAATCAAAAACACCCAAAACAGCCACTCCAATCTGGGATGTGTGCATCTGTGGCTTGCCGTCGAGGAATGCTTCCGTTCGGCTACTTGATCACAACCTGGTTCGAATGAACCTCAACAACAGCGTTGTGACACCCACTCCCTGTTCAAAACCGAACACAACTGATGAAAGCAGAAGCCTGTGATGCAAACTGAAGAGCTAAAAAGAATCTGTGGCGAGTTTGTGTTACACCGCTACATTCCATCTGGCCCTTGCGGCTGTCCCGCTACTTGAAGGGAAACAGAACCAGGACCACATAACGCATGCTAGAATCTGAAGTTTCTACATGCCTAGAATCTGCAGCAACAATTTCGCGCTCCATCCAAGACGTGCAATCTTATCCCCACCGCGCACTATGAAAAACGTAGTGCCACCGGTCCTCGAAATCATCCCAGCACATGCCCTTGGTGCAACCTGGCATGCATAGCCAAGAGATGTAGCTATGGCAGCAGTGGCAACAGTAGATGCGCAGCGCGTTCCAAATCCTCAGTCAGGCTGGAATGATCTGGAAAGGGCTTGACCTGAACCACTGGCACACATGAGCGAATTGTGAGACAAAAGGCGACCAAGGCACTTTGCAACATGTTGAACCACTTCCGCTGCTGTATCCTCTCTGATGGATTTTTGCCTGCCCACAAATAATGACCCATCTGCTGCCCAGTGTCAAGACAAAAGGACAGCACAGGATTTGGTAGAGGATGCAGCCACGCCCCTCACATACCTGGGGCATTGATTTGCTTTGCCCCTCTCTCGAGTGCCTCTATTTGTCGCTGTTTGTGCGTTGGAGGTATGTATCGCAAGCATGTGATTTGCTCATCCCTTCTCCCGGAAGCAATCTGGGAATTGAGCCCTGCCAGCTGTTTATCCACAAGGCTTACAGTGAAGCGAGTCAAACCCTGGCAATCCTTCCCAAAGCCTGCGAAACCCTTCAAAGCCGGCCAGACTTTCAGCTTGCTTTACATTCTGTAGGCTCCGATGGCCCATGGGCGTCTAACGATCGCAGTGCAGAGCTGGAGTCATCCCTACCAAACGTTGGATGCCATGGCCCTACCTCTTTTTGAGGGGTTTTCCGGTGGATGCCTACTCTGGACTTAGCCTCAAAGTCAACGCTCCAAGTATCACTGCCTCCTTTTCACATCGCAAGGCCTCATCCCAAGCCTCACTTTCCCTGAGCCCAGCTCAGGCCATTTCCTGTGAGCTTAGCCTCAAGTTCCCCCCGAACCGCGCCTCCGGCCAGCACAAAAGGATGGGGTCCAGCCACTTGACCCCGGAGAAGTAGGCGCAAGCTGCAACCGCAGCATACAGCGCCAGGAGGGCCAAGCCGACCTAACAAGTCACATGCGTCACAAGCCCAAAGATCGAAAGTGAGTCGTTTCACGCGGACTTCTCGGTTCAACCCAACCCTCAAAGGGTTTGTTGGGGCATCAGCCGGACTTAAGGCCCTGGATGCCCCTGGCAAAACATCGAGCGTTCCCCCAAGACCATGGGATACCATGGGTGCAAATGCGGCCAAACGGTCAACACAGCGTACAGCACAACTTTGCGGTGTAACCAACCACTGAACACCTACTTTGGCTGGCCACGTGCAACTAGGCCATGCAGCTTGGTGGGAAAATGTGCAACTGCAAACATGTCCATGGCACTCGGCATTGGAACTCATGGCTCCTGGTTCCATCCGCCAGCTCTTGGCCGCTTGCCCAAAGGAAACTGGGCCGCTACGTGCCCAATGGAACGAAGCCCATCCTCCCAGCGCGCGCCGTTTTGAGCAGGTCTGGGCCGCGGACGAATAGAAAGCGTGTGAGGATCATGAAGTTTTTCATTCCAACGCCAAACCTGGACAGCGAAAAAAACGCCCACGCCCGTCGCCCTCCCTTCCTTGACTACTTGAACACTGCGAACAAGCAATGTGAGTGGCTTGAGACATCGACTGGAACTGCGCTTTGTGACTCTGTGCAGCTCTGTGTTGAACCCTTCAGTGACTGCACCCAAGGAACCAAGAGTTTGACTCCACCTTGGAGACGGTGAACTCGGAGACAGTCACGTGGGCACCGAACCATCCACCCGAGGATGCCTCAGCTGCCAGCCCTCGACTTCCCTTGGGCACAGCCAAAAAGGGGACCTGCAAATAAAAATGGTGAACACTTCCATCTTCAAATGCAGGTTGGGTGGGAAGAAAGTCCGTGCACAAGGAAACTACCACAGCAAGCATGGCCAGGTCGCGGATCACTCGAAGACGAACAGTTTCTTGAAACATGAGCCAGCCAACGCACACACAATCAGGCGTTTTTTCCCTAGTTGCAATGTACGATTGAAAACGTCACCCACCCTTTTGCTACATGTTGAAGTGTCCGGTCCTCAGTGCTGAAAGGCACAAAATGCCATGGCCATCTGGCAGCATTCCAAATGGTATCTGGGGATGCGTCACCAGAATAATTAACGCCCGCGCAGCTGAGCGGTGCTTTGCTCCAGTGCCAAAACCATCATCAGCACAATGTGGGTGCTTTTTGCGTTTGCGAGGCAGGGTACGCCGCCGACCCCATGTTCACGGCTCCTCTCTTTTGAGGAGGCTTGAGGTATCACTCGGGGTTGATCCCAACTTCTCTGATACAAGTTGTTGTTTTTTCCCTTTCCATGAACGGTTTGTCTTTGGGGTTAGACCCTTTTGGTATCTTTTCAGGAGTGGATTCCATTTCAACCGCCGCTTCTCGAAGTCGCCTGCATGGACTGCGAGAGGCACTGCTCGATCTTGTGGGCCTCCTTGCTGGTCCCCGTGCCGCTCACGAGAAAGCGCACCCCGCTGCCCTCCGGGTACCAGGTGGAGCGCTTCGGCTGAAAGCCTCGAGTGCAGTCCAACAAACCTGGGGAGACTAAAAAGAAACCATGCACCACTCCCGAACCACTACCCGGGGTTGAATGAGATAATATAGCCACTGCATGGTCACGAAAAAGAGAAGAGGGTATATACTCAAATGTCCCTTGCGGGTAGCTTAGGTCTGGGTGTGCACACTGTACAATGTTGACCATCCACCTCAACACAAGCTGATATCAAATCGGGGCAAACACCACATAACGGGCCCCAGGCATCGAAATCACAATCCCCGCAAGTTCCTGACAGACCTGCCCTCTGATGAGATGATTTCCAGCTGGCCAAACAAACAAATCTTGATTACCTCGCGCACAGGCTTTAGTTTGGTGCTCAGAATTGACAAATCCAATATCCTTGGTGCCGGCCATGTCGGTTTCAAACGCGCGGCGCGCCCTTCACCCACAAGCGCAAGAAATTCCTGACACACCCGAAGAAAGGCCTAAAAATCGAAGTTCAACTGTTTGTTCCGCACGTTGCTTCAAGTTGGTTTTGGCCCCAACAGCTGCTCCACTGCGCAAGCGTGCCTTGCAGATCGGGGCATTCTTTGAAGGCCTTGCCCAACCAGTTTCCCCACTGAGCGTAGTTCTGCTGCTTCAAGCCTGGCAACCATAGTCAAGTCACCGGGCAAAGGCATCAGGCTATGTGCCCAAAAGTTACTCACAAACAACTGCAACAATCAGGGCAAGTGACCCCGAAAGAAAAAACACCGCACTTCGCCGTGAACGCCATGTGGCACGGTTTCTGAGCTGTCACCAAGCCAAAGAGCACTGCCACTGGACCGATCTGCACTAAACAAAGTCTTCTGCCACACCCCGCCGGCCGCCTGCAATCTTGAAGGATGACATGAACAGCTGTTCTGAACGGTCAGCGGGAAGAGCACAGTTGTACAAATCCTGTGGCCAATTCGATGAACAGGTTCACATTTAAGTGGCCAAACGGTAAAATAAGGAGCCATACCCTCTCCAAAAAAAAACGAGTCCCCCCTTATATATGGAGCCAAGCAAATCCCGGTCCTCATTCAAGGCAACCTTGAACGCGTCGTCTCCCATGGCGTTCACAGCAGATGTGACTTGCGCTCGGCAGGGGTAGTTTTGGGCCTTGGACGAAGGCTCCTCCCAACATCTCCCAAGCCCGCTGTGTTGAGGTGTTGTCAACAGGGTCCTGACTCAGCCTGGGCCAGAAAAGGTTTTTTCTTGCTCTTGTTGCTAACCCTTAGCGAGCCAACTTGCCCAAAGGAAACAGGGTAACACTAATGACTGGCACTTGCGAGATTCAAGGACTGGTGCCCGCAGTCACGCACCCCGCAGGGCGTACTCGTTAAGTACTAATGACTCCAAAGTGAAAAACCGACATCTAATTGGTCTGTAGCCAACAAGCGGGTATCATCTCCGAGTTGGCCCCCTCATGCGCAAGGGGGAGGGTACAACAACATTTCCCCTTAAAGCATGATCCGCCAGTAGGATTTCATAGTATCTCAAAGGAAGGCTGGAGCGATATGATGGATCGCGATGGCTATGCGATTATTTTGCGTCACTCATTCCACGCTTCGCCACTGCGGCCAACTGCCCAGAAGATCCAGGGCGTCAATATGTATACTGATTGGTTGCACAAGAGCGATGCAACGCCAATCCAGAATGATGCAGCTCTGTTGGCGGTCCGTAGTCCGCGCAGCATGATCTTTCTCAGGTCCCCTTCAACCCCCCTTGGCTAGGAGCGATTTTCCACACAGCAGAAACATCTCACCACACACACACACAACAAGCACACAACAAGACTCGACTAAACACAAAACACATACATCCAATCGCCTAACTCCCCTGGAACAAACTGCGCACATATTTCAAGCAGTGTTGGATTCCCATTAGAACCAACAAGATAGAATCAAACCAATCTTGCAAGTAGTGGTAGATTCCCCTTAAAACCACCAGGGGAACATAACCAACAATATTCGTTTCAGCAACTGGACGTGTACATCGGAGGGCTCCTTAAGAGAATCTTATGGCGCTCGCGCGAAGGGACGGTTCCGCCGCTTCCGCCGGGCTGCGCCGCAGAGGCGGTCCATGTACAAAGTCAAAGCGCCCTCCAGGGAGACCACCTCCGCCCTCGAGGAGGAGAGGCCACAGGCCTGCACCACCTGAGGGTGGGATGTGGGATGTGGATGTGGGATGTGGGATGTGGGATGTGGGATGTGGGATGTGGGATGTGGGGTGGGATGGGGTTAGGCACAGCAAGAGAGATGTGTGTGTAGGACACGCTGTAGAACAGCAGGACACGAGACATGTGCTTCAATTTGGCTTGGTCGAGTTTCTATTGAAATCTGGCTCGATCTTTGCTTCTCCATATCTCTGAATGGGGACGCAAGAAAAAACAGCCAGGCAGGACCCTGAGTTTCGTGAGGGCTCCATAAACAAGGACTGCGTCGCCCGGATGCCATTACTCCCAAGGCATTGGTGCCATGAGCAGTGAAACTGGGCATGGCCAAGCCCGAAGAAAAGGATCACGTCGGGTGTGATTCTATGGCTCAGGCAGCCATGGCTCAGACGTCGCGGGCTCAAAACCGCGAGCCAAGGAGCCATGAATCCTCTTGACTCGGAGCACTGACTTGACTGTTGCAACAGGGGTGACAGCCGGCTGGCAAGATTTGACTCATGGTGAACCTCAGGGAACTCTCAGCCGATAGCCAAAACAATCACGGCCTTCGGGCCCAAAGGAACCATTTGACCCGGTGCCAAGGAGTCAGAGAAAACTGGCAGTCTACTCTTTGTTGGGCAGCCGGCACCGCTTTGTGGACGAGCTGCTCAGCTACGACACGCTGTCAGTTCAAATCAAATGCATTGCCCATCCCTTGCGGTTCCATAGGCCATAGACGTTGCGGTTCCATAGGCCATAGGCCCGTGATTTGGTGCACATCATTTGCGTGGGATTGTTTTCTTAGCAGCCATTCTAGTTCACAGTATGTTGTGGGAAGTGTTTTGGCCATGGAGCGAAATGTCCAACTCAAGCGCTATTGGTAACTCCCCGCCTGTTGTGGCCATTCGGCCGCATCTGCCACCACCAGCACGATGCCCACAATCACATGGAGCCGCATGGCGCCCGATTGGTTGTCAAAAGGTTAAAGTGTCTAAAGCGTTTGTGGCATGGCAACCGCAGCATCGTTCCACATTGGCCCCGATGCGTCCTGTGATGTTGTAAGGATCCGTGCGTGCAGTGCACCATCCGCGTGGCAAGCCGATGCCCTTAAGCGAAGCTGCAAAACCGCGATGGACAAAGGACAAGCCAGCCACCTCTTGCACTGGCTGGGGCACGGGCCGGATGTTTTCGATCAAGCCACCCCGGGAACGCCTAGGGGTTCAAGCTGTGCTTGCGACAACTGATCAGAAATGTGGAAACTCTCTAAACGGGACCCCTGGTCCTTGATGAGTTCCAATGTGCCTCCATGTCATCTGCACATTCGCTTGGGCGCTGAAAAACAGTAGCAAGCTCCAGGCGCGAATTCTCGGCGAAGGACACGCAGCGCTGTTACAACCTCCTGCGCACGCCAAGCAAACTGCCGTTGTTTCTGTGGAGTCCGGTGCTTCTGATGTTTGGTCCACAAGCCCAGGAAGTCAACAAGACATTGGCTGCCATTGTAGAGCTTCGGCCCGTCAAGAACTGCAATCCACTCACTTTCAAGTGCTGCCGCCTTCAATGACAAATGGGGCGGTCGCACTCAAATATCCAACATCGCAGGGCCCCCAAGTTATGCCGTTGCCAACACCTGAGATGCGAGGCCACATCCGCGCTCTGCATGGCACTAGGTTCGCAGCAAGGCAATAGCTGAGGACAATAAGGCATGGCTCTGCCATTTTTGCTAGACTCCAAAAGCTGAATTCAGGGAAGCACCTTCATCATGGCTTTCGCTAGTTATTACTTCCCCAGGTGAGCTCGCTATGAATAGGCCAACTGGCTTCATCGATTTTCGGCGATGTCCTGATAGGTGAGCGATTCCCTGGCGCGAGCCTGCGCGCAGCCCGGCTCATTTTGGAGCCAGCTTCCCCTGACTGGAAGCTCCCCACCTTTGGTGACTTGAAACATGCAGAAGCTGCTATTGCCGGTGCCCGACGAGTAAAGGGCATTTGAGATGTTTGCAGCTCTTGCAAGTTTTCTCAAAGCCGGGCCTGTCCCCATGCAAAAGTTGCGAGAGTGCAAACGGCCTCATAGCTTGCATATTCAATGGCAAGGCGCAAGCAGCCAATTGACAATGCAAAAATAAGCAGTCACTGCCCACAATTTACAAGCTTAGCCTGAGTTTCCAAACTATGTTGCTTTCTGCTCGCCTGCTAAAAGTTTAACTTTTAGTGGTTTAATGGAAAGCCCATTAGTTGGCAACAAGTTAAAGTCCTAACATTAACATCCCTTGGCAAAATGCGCCAAAGCAAAGTGGTGTTCCGATGGCGGCTAAAAAGCGCATGCCTGAAGCTCCGTCATCCTTCTTCTCAAGGTGGGCAGATCTTCATCTCGCCGCGCCTTAGCCAAACAAGTGAAGCAGCCTCCGGCTGATGCCAAGCCAGTCTCTCTTTTGGAGAACAGGACACCCTGAGCGTGCACTTGTCTGTGGGTTTCATTAAACATTTTTTTAAGGGTACCTTTTTTGGGGATCGATGTAAAGGGCAATCTGAAGGCAAAACCACCCATCCCGGTGCTCCATTTGGAAACCCATTGCCCTGGGTGTCTGGCCGTAATGGAGCGGTTGAATCCCGTCTCCCTGTCAGTGCAGTTGAACATGACCTGCGTCGGACAGAAAGCGGTGGGCTACTTCGAGTTGAATTCCTACATCTCTCCGAGGACCCGACATGCACTGACCAACATGGAAGCACTAAGCTTAATAGTTTAAAGTGTGCTCTATCGTGGAACTGCACCAGGCCCGTTGTTTTTGTGGAAGTTGCTGAGAGAATGTGGATTCCCGCATAGATTGCAGGAAGTCTGTATGGTAGCGACTTCAACCAAGTGTTCCTCCACAATGGTGCCACTCAGAAACAAGCACGGCCAGCTCGAAAATGTGTGCTGTTCAAGCAATCTACTGCTGCCCAATCACGCAAGCATGTCACCATGGAAAGGGACCAATCGCATTTTTGTGCCGGGCAAACCGTCCTAACGCTCATGTATACCAGCTGGTAATTAATGGTCATGTTCAAACACCTTGCAGGATCCACCCATAAGAAACACTTCTTGGAGCATCCGCAGCTCCCGCATGCGCGCCAGCGCCCTCGCGGGCAATTCACTTTTTCCAGCTTCCAGGCGAGCTCAGCGGCTCTAGGCCCCTCTCAGTTTGGCCTTCTTGAGGTCATCCAGCTTGTGATTCCTTGGCTTGGGAAACCCCTCTACTTCGCCGCAATTGACCACGGTTTTATGATTACATGCGCTTTTTGGAGGGTGTATTCCTGCGTCAGAGCCAGCCAGGCATGCCCAGAAAGCAAAGATGAAGCCTCGCGCAGTCTGAGGGGCAGCTCTGTGATCTTGGAACTCTTGTCGGCGTGGACCTCCTGAAACTCCTTCTGCAGCTTCTCCACCTCCTTCTGCGCCTTCTCCTCCGCCTTCGAGTTGGCCTGAAGGGTGCGCCGGGCCGATGCAGCTGCGAAGGGCGCAATCTTTGAAGTTGGCGTCCAAAACCCGCAAGTTCGCCAAAGGCTTTGGGGTAGGGCTGGGGGTGGAGTTTGGGGTGGGGTTTGGGGCAGGTTTAGGGTGGGTTGGGGTGGGGCTAGGATAGGTTCCAGGTCCTGGTTCGGTTTTAGGATGGCCAGGGTGGGCTTGGCTCCTGGAACAACCAACCAAACAAGCTGCCAACTCCAAAACAGATTCCCACCCATGCCCCTTAGATTTCGCGCACAAAAACAATGATGCAGAACCCAGGCCTCCCCACCCGTGACTTAGTGGCCGGGGGAAGAAGAACGCTTTGTTGAGGGACACTTTGGTTTACAAGAGAAAGGCCCACCGCCAAACAGGGATCCTACATTATGCACCTGAACATTGCCTTGTACATGGTGGTGTCCCTTTCTTTTGGTGTCGAAAAAGCCATGTTTCAAATGGTTGCAAATTGTATCTTTTCAGGAGCCCACCGCCAAAAAGCAGAAGGCCAAAAGGAAGCGGTAAGCTGGCGAAATGCCCAGGCCTCATACATCATCTTCTCATAGTCCAGCTGCTCCCTGGGGAGTCAATCCAACTCCCCTAGTTTGAAGGGTTTGATTCCTTGCAATACATGGTTCAAAAGCCAAATCGTACCCCCAGTGAACATCAACCAATCCAACCACTAAAATAGGTTCTATATAAAATGGGTGGTGAATTCACCGAACTCCCCAAAATGGGATCCCAAAACGGTTTTGACCACCACAGCCTAGGGCTGCACCTGCTCCCTCAAGACTTCGGCGTCTCTCGGGGCCACCGGCCGTGATTCTAGGGGGTTGATTCCTTGTCCATTCAAGCATCCTTCTTTTCTCAAACACCGGATCCGTTTTGAATGGGTTCCCGGAGGTTTTCTAGAAAGAAGGATGTTCAAGCATCGTTCCTGTCTCAAAAACCGATCGCCGTTGTCCCTGGGTTTCCGGAGGTTTTCTAGAAAGAAGGATCCCTGGAAAGGATGGAGAAGGTACCCCTAGACTTTTGCAAGGCTCAGCGACTCAAGTTGTAGCTTGATTGAAGGCCAGAACTCAACTGCAACAGGTGCCATCTTCCAAGGCACGCTTGGTTTACACGGCACAAGCGTCGGAATGATCCTGTGCTTAAAGCATTGGGTGAAGTCAGCGCTGAGGATTGTCACAACTCAAATGCTGATTTTTGAGGCCACTCGGCCACTCAGAGGCGGCGAATACAGGACGCCAAAGGCCAGCAACAAACACACATTTCGGAAGCCAAGCTACCCACTGCGAATGAGACCACCAATTGGCGTCACAAGACATCCGGCTAACTGGAGTTCCTGCTGACCAAAGGCTACAAACCTTGGAGACCCGATGCGGTTATGGGTACGACCAGGGGTGTGAATAAGTCTGCCCTTCGGCTTTTCAAGGGCAGTTGAGATCGCAAAAACGGGCAGGCTGCTGAGTATGTGGATGTGCCAAAGCACCCACCTCCCCCAATGACTCAAAACCAAGAGGCTGCGCCGCCTCCTTCTCGGCCATCTCAAGCTTCAGCTGGGCCTATGCCGGGCATGGGCTGGGCGGTGGAGAACCTATGCGAGGGTTTGCTCACACAAACCAGTTGGGCGATTGCTCAATCGACGCGGGCGGCACATGTAAGCACGCGTCCAACCATATCTTGGCCTGCTCCTGCGCTTCATGAGTTACTGTAAGAAGCTGATATCCAAAAGATCCCTGGTGCTCGCTGAACTAGATTTTAGCAAGCAATAATTTTACTGCGACCCTGTGTTGATGACATGCTAGTGCGTTTCTTTTGGGCAGCAAATCGTGAGTCGTGAGTACTGCTCACGTATGTCTATGGATGAACGTGCCTCTCGAACTGGCAAAAAAGGCGCTTGCGTACTTGCATCAGGTTTGTTGAAAGAACAAAGGGCAATCAAATCAACCGTCCTTCCACTGGCAGACTTGAAATGATGTCGGTTCTTCTTTCACAAGCGGCCCACGTGCATGAAACCTCTGCATGCCCTGCCAGAGCAAAATCCCCATGTGATTAAAAAAAGATGCCAATCAGCACCCCACTGGGAACACATTTTCACTGGCGTCCCTTGACCAGTTCCAGTTCCATGTTTCAGTGAGGGTGAACATGACCCGTTCATGTCCAGGGGGGTCTTTTTGCCACCTTTTGTGAGAAAATAGGCGACCCTCAAAAAGGAATCCTTCACTACAGGGGGGTGGATCATTTTTCCAGCAAAGGTGGCAAAAAGACCCCCCTGGTCATGTCCAAACGACAGGCGCTGGGAGGGCGCTGACTCGTGCCTTCTGGAGCCTCCGCTTGGCCACCTTCAGCTTGGAGTCCGTCTCTACCACCTGGTGCTTCCTCGGCGAGGACTTCATAAGTCACATGCGCTGGCCAATTTTGTTCAAACATCTTGTGGGGTGCTCATGCTTCTGGGGCTCTTATAGATTAATTGCATTCCCTTGGCAAAATGGAACTGGTCCTCTGGCGCAGGGTCACATGCGCTGGCCAATTTTGTTCAAACATCTTGTGGGGTGCTCATGCTTCTGGGGCTCTTATAGATTAATTGCATTCCCTTGGCAAAATGGAACTGGTCCTCTGGCGCAGGAATGCAGTGATGTGTCTCTTGACTCTTGGGCCAGCCTGTCATTCAATTCGAGTCCTTCAAACTTTCCCGTCGGCCGCGCACCAGTTGGATGAGTCATCAGCATGCGATGCGCTGATTCAGAAAGACAGCCAAAGGACGGTGGATTTGAAGGATTCGGCTTGTGAACCTCACACGCATGGAAAATCCTTGCAAACCTTCCCGCAACAAATAGTCCCCACGAGATTTCTGAAAATGGGGGCGGGGTCACCCTGGCCAGGACTAAACCCCTGGCCCCAACCAATGGATCCAGAAAACCATGGGCGACCCATCCTCCAATCTTCGGTGAAGCATTCACCGCGCGAAACCATCACGCGTCATGAAGCAGCCTGCATGCTAGGATTGCAACTATGGTCACATCAGCTGAATGAAGCAGACATCTGAAGACCTCTTGCCATCGAGCAAGTTTAAGTTGGTGGAATGGCCAAACATCACACATGGACAGCCCGTGTGGAGGCATTGCGGAAACCTATGGCGATCCGGACATGATGGGTACCTGGATTTTTCGCGGGCTGGCCAACCCAAACAAAACGGCTCACATACGAGGGTGAAGAAAACAAGGCAAATGTTCTCAAAGAACCCTTTTTCACAAGCAATACACTAAGGTCTCCCATTCCAGCTGCGCCCATGAACTGCTGGCATGTCTCTCGTGATCTTGGTCAGAACGCATCTTGTTGATCGTCCTCTCCCTTGGTCGCCAGGACCCACGGCCCGGTCCAGCGAAACAAACTGCAATTGCACTTTCAACGGGCACACACACCATAGGTGGCCTTTTTGGGCAAAATAGATGGCCCTGGTAAATGAGATAAAACCCATCTAAACCAGTGGAACCCATCGATGTTTTGCCAAACCAACCTAAAAAGGACAACTATGAGCACTCACCTTCTGGCAAGCCGCATGTCAGTCTCTTTGGCCCTGTCTTGCTGCCATACTTCCTGTGCATCCTTCTTCACCCTTTCCATCTCTCGCCTCGGCGAACATGCTCTTTGAATATGACGCATCTCCACTCGCAGATGGCAGTTCAACGTGCAGTTGCCTGCATGTGTAAGTGTTATGTGTGTGTGTGTGTGTCGCGCGTGCTGGGAATCCAAGGTCTCAGTGAAGCCATTTAGTTATACCCTCGTGCAGCTTCCCCGCTTATGCATCATTTCAAGGGCCTCAGCTGAAAGCCTTGCACACTTCCCCCAAAATGTCGTTTACGTCGCTCCCCCTGTAAAACAAAAGGTGGCGTTTCAAACCACCTGGGCAAATATGGGCAACCCTGGCTCCTGTGAAACTGGCTTCTCTACCAAAAAACCTTTTCCCTTGCGCCAGGCTGCACCTCCAGCTCAGATTCAGACCTCGGTCTCCGTTTGCAAGTGCCATTTGGATCGGATTTCCGGGGTGTCTTCAACCAAGTCTACGAGTTTATGATTCATTGGGATTGCCAACTGAGCTGAGTTAGTCTCAAAAAACAGGCATGGCGCACGCTTCCCACGCCGCCTTGGCTCGAATCTAGGCACGATTTGGCCAGTTTGGGAGAGACGGGGCCGCTCCAGCGGCTCGAGTTTCAATCTTTGAAAAGTGCTTGTCTTGCTTCCCGCGCTTCTTAAGTCGATGGGCCGGCGTAGAAGCCAGCCAAGGGGTCCTGCATGTGGCAAGTGAGAGCCGAAGGAAAATTCAAGGAAGCTTTGGTGCTGTGTCTACAACATGGTTGGTGGGCACAAATCTGGATGTAGCAATACGTCCAGATTTGATCCTCAAATTAACATTGTGCCCAGGTCAAAGTGGCCCCATAAGCTTGGTCAAGCAGCTTCAGCGCCGACTTTTCCTTCAGGGCCTCCGTCTCCAACTCGGACCGCTTCTTGGAGATTGCCTGGAAGCTTTCCTGGCACGGAGTCCTACCTGAACTTAGCCACAAGGCCACTCATTGGTGAGCTCGTTTTGCCAGGCGAAGGTGCCACACTGAGTGCAGATTCCTACTTTGAGCTTGGCCTTTCCTTGTGAACGTTTGCAGGCCACGCGGCAGTCGTTTTGCTTAGTGTACCGCTTCAAAAAAAAACAAAAAACAGCAAGGCTTGGTGCGCCACTTATCCGGCCATTCCCCGGCACACGGGCGAGACTGTGGAGTGACTCGGCAGGCAACGCAGTGGAGAGGCAGCAGCTATGGGGGTCTAGTGCTTCTACTGCTCAAGCTCGCGTTAAACACTACCAGTTCCTGCCGCTGTTTTAGGAAATAAATTTCCTTGTGAGAGTTTGCGAGTTGCACTTGGCAGCAGCTTCGATGTATATTGATTAGGGGCACGTAGTTGTCCACTGTTTCGTTTGCTTCCCTTTCGCATCACCCGCTAGAAACTGATTGCTAGGCAGGAATCGTTTGGTGGTGGCTTTAGAAGTCAGCATCTGGGCGGTTTCAAACAACAGCTTCAAACAAATTTCTACTGAGCCTTTGAATTGGAACCTGTCTTTGGTGGGGTGTTCGAAGTAGAATTGTTTTACTGGCCTATGGTGTCTTTGCCCATGCCAAATAGCTCCCGGGAGGTCCGCGCGTTCCGAGGTATTTGCTGGGGGCCTGGTTGGCAAGGCTGGGTCCGCAATTTCAGGGACCTAAGGCGGGCAAAGGCTTCAGGGGTGTGGGTGTGCGACTTTTGGGCTGGTTTGGGATTGGTTGTGAGTAGCCCAAAGCTCACGCAACCACATCTCGAAAAGCAACCCTACTTAAAGCCATTGCAAAGACTAGCAGCGACTAGCACAAATCAGCTCCAAGCCAGCCCAAGCCAACCCAAAGTCAACCCCGACTAGACACGCCCAACAGCAGCCTGCCCTTGGCTGAGCCAGATAAACCAAACAAACCCAAGACCTGCCAAAACTCACCCCAACTCTCAACTAGCACCAAACCCAAGCCATTAGGCAGGTGTAGGTCCGAGCGAGGCCGGTGATCCGGTGATGCTGGGGGATGTGGCCAACAACCAACCGACCGACCGACGGACCAACCAACCAACAGACCAACCAGCCACCCGACCAGGATAAAGCCCAACCGGATGTAGTACAGAAAAAGGAAAAAAAACGGTTCCACCAACCACCTCCAACCACCTCCAACCACCTCCAACCACCTCCAACCACCTCCAACCACCTCCAACCACCTCCAACCACCTCCAACCACAACAGCCGGAGGAGCTGCAATAAATGTCAGAGCTTCCGTGGTTCGCTGGTTGCAATTCATGAGGTTGTTTTGGTTGGGCTACATTTCAGAGCTCCCCTAGGGAATTGCAAGCTCGTGAGGCTTTTGGTTGGTTGGACATTTCCCAGCTCACATGCAGAATTTTGGGCAAATCATCATGGAATCCCCAAAACCCCCCCCCCAAAAAAAAAAACGCCAGGCTTTGGAGGAGACTCCTTTTGGTGGGCCCCCTTTTCCAGGTCCCATCTGAAGTTGGCTGCCTGGTTCTGGTGCTGCTGCTGGCGCAGCCGCTCTTCATCGCGTTCCAGCTTGGAGCTCAAGGGCTTGAGGCCCTCCTGGGCCTTCGCCATCCTCGCAGCGCGGATCGTGGGGAAAGGCCGGGGGCCCAGCCCCAGCTGCCTTCACCCAACTGGGGAACGGGTAGGGATGACATGGTTCTCCCGCTCCTTTTCGGGCCAGTGGGGAACAAGCTGAGGACAGCAATTGAAGTTTGTGAAGGTCACACCTCTCTTTAAATGTCACTACTCAACTATACGCACGTCTGCTTAGGACAAGTGAAAAAGGAAACACACATGCCTTGTTTATTACCTTGACGCTTCTTGGCTGGGTGGCGTTTTACAGTCTGCGTCCCGACAAGCCCCAAATGGGATGAAATGTGACTTACTTGGGCCCTTTGGTGGACGTCGTTCACATCAGGATTTATGTCCACCAACGACTTTCTAAGTCGCTCGGACAACTCTGCTCCGATGCCAGTCCTCTCCACTGCAAATGCATCTGCTGCTGTGCTCCGCAAATGGCTGGCCGACTGTGAAGCCTGTTGCTGCTCCTGGACGGGGTGAGAGAACATCAGCCTAGTCTCAGATGCTCAGTGGTCACGGGAAAAAAAGGCACCATTGTTTTTGGTTGGCTGAGTTTAAAGGGGGACCCCTACCCCAAAAAATGAAATCAGCGCACCACTGGGCAACAGAGTAGTAGCACTATACTTCCATAAGGCTGGCTACAGGATTTGGGACCTTGATGACGCTCCAGCTAGAAGTTGATGTTTGGTGTCGACAAGCCCGTGCGTCTGCGCCCTACTTGCCGTGTAAGCTATGAACGCCTTGATGATCTCTGTTGACTTGTTGTCCTTTGAAGGGCTAGAGCCGCAGTTGATCGCAGTTGCAAACAGCGACGTCCCCGCAACAACAAAAAACATGCTGCACCGACCAGCATCAGAATGAGCTGCAATCATTGCAAAGGCCCAGCGCAAATTGACGACTCCGGGCTCTGTAGGTTTGCGGTTACAGTCATGCTTGACTTGCAAATGTCTGCAGCTGATTGTCCACCAAGCGGCCGCTTGAGCGATTTGAGATTCTCACGTCACGCTGCACAATCTGACCGACACTGCTCTCAGCGTCCAGGCAGCGGTGACTTCTTGAGAGAACGTTTCAAAAGCTTTAACAGGGGACGCCCCGTGGAGGACCCATGTGGACCCGCGCTTGGAGCATGGCTCCTTAGAGCAGTTCAAGTGGCAAAGGGATGGCGGGCAGCGAGGGGACATCCCAAACAGCCTGAGCTCTGTGCAGCCGCACAGAGCGGGGAAACCTTGGACCTCCACCATCAGTCCTTCTTCGCAGCCTCGAGCTGGGTTTCCGCCTTCAGGTGTGGCACTGCAAAGTTTTTCTGCCACGCTTAGCGCCCTGGGCGCGACTGAGGGGGAATAGCAAAGTTCTAGGGGTACCTTCCCCATTCTTTCCAGGGATCCTTCTTTCTAGAAGGAAAACCGATGATTTTTCGAAAGAACTGTGGTTGAAAAGAATGGAAAAGGAATAAACCCCTGGGAAATAGTACTCCTTGACCCCCAGCCACCCCCGCTCATCGGAATCCGCGAACTCGCGACTCTCCTCGCCTGCCGGAGCGCCTCCGCCGACGCGGCCTGCCACGTGTGGAAGAGCCCGCGTTGGGTGTTCAGGGCCTCCGCGTCGGCCGCCGCCTGCTCCTGGACCAAAGACGAAAAGGCGAGGGAGATCTGGAAATTCTGCGGAAATGAGTCACTTGCTCAAAACCGATGGGGATTAACATGGTCTGCCATTTCAAATCCTGGTGTAAAAAAACAAATGCGGGTGGTGCGATTGGCAGGGCATGAGAAATGGAATGACCCCGGCTAAAACCATCCAACTGGTGGTTTCCTCTAGGGGAATCCCTTCCAGTTCATTCCCAGATTCCCTACTGAGCACGAGCAAGATGTGATGTGCACGGGTATTGCAGCAACTCCCAGCACGTGCTTACCTTTGTGACAGCTGCCCGGTCAACCAGGAGCAAAGCTCCACTGGAAGGCCGTGGCTGTCCAAACCGCTGGAGCATGGTAACGGGAACCCAGTTGACCAATAAACTTGACTATTCGAGCGTCCCATGTTAGATAGTGTTGCAGGGATCTGGATCAGACCCTGGCGGAAGCCCGCTCCGAGACATTCAACAGATGTACTTGATTTCGGGTCAACGTTGCCCACCTCCCGCCCTGGTTGCCTGGTTGCCCTGGGCCCGCAGGGAAAAGGGCTATCCCACATCCGAAAACCCTCAAGCCCCCACCAGTGTTCATTGTTCGATTTCAGCCTTGATTGCATTTCACTGGCTCAAGAATGCTCCTGTTTTGGTTCCGGCGCGAAGCAGCACAGTAATGACCTAGTAAAAAGGAAGACGTCTTCACTGGATGAAACATGCCATCATTTTGGGACGCTCTCTTTTGTTCAGAAGAGACTGTTCGGAAGAGAGCCGAAAGATGTCCAAGACATCATAGCCAGTGAGCGTGAGGCGCGCCCTTTGCAAAGAGTGGCTTGATTCCTTACCGACATCAAGCTACTGCAAACGCCCGTGCACCGAGCTTGCATGGCCAGCTAAAATCGCAAACTACCGGCTAGTGAGTGCAATGCGAGCTGTTCAGTCCCCAAGGTAACGCTGGTTCGCCATCCATACCCCACAGCAACCAACCTCATGGTGGCAAGGCTGCGCGTCCTTGGTCTTGCGGCGCGCATCCTTCAGCATCTGCCTCAGCTGCCAGGCTGCGGAATTGCTCGCTGAATTCAGCTACATGGATTGCGTTGTCATAGGCCTGGAAGACATGAAGGCTGGGTTCAGCGAAGAAACGGGAGGAACAATTTCAGTGGTGCAAGGAAAGCAGAGGCGCACAGCCCCCCTGTAGCCCTTGGCCGAAGCCCTTGCATTGTGTCCCCTGTTGGCGGCCAGCCAAAAGGGCCATATTGGCGGCGTGGTGATGCCTAGTTGCTTGGCACTCTCAAACTCCTGCTGCGCCGTGGAGATGTTTGTTTCGCTGATGGACTTCAGGTGGCCTTGCCGCAGTGGATCGATCCCAGACCCCCAGACTCCGCAAGCCGCGCATGCCATGGACAGGACTCGCTGAATCAGCATGGGCCCGCAGAGCTGGTTTCTGGGGCGTCATGGCGCCACCCTCTCTCATTTGTGTCTCTCTCTCTCTCTCTCTCTCTCTCTGTTTCTCTGTCTTTCTCTTTCTCCTATTTCTCTTCTTTCTCCTTGTTTAGAGCCACAAGCAAATCCAGCCGAGGTCGACCGCTGAAACAAACTGCCCTGCCTCTGTGTGCGGCCAGCCACTCAGACTCTGCTGCATTCTCCGCCTTGCAGTGGAATCAATACGCGTGCTTGCGAGCCTTTCCCTACAAGTCGTGCTAGGTAATAACATGTGTTCTTAGCAGTAGCATCCAGCGAAACAGCAAGGTAACCCAATAAATAACAGTTTGCGTGGTGTTATGCATAGCGCTTTGTTGCTACAGTCCCTGTGCGTTGTGAAATTGTTCAAAGACAGCGATACTGGCCTACAATTTGTTTTCCTTGTTCCCTCTGAGCTGCACAGAACGATGGATGTCGGAGGGGTTAGGTGCTGCCCATCCCCCAGAAGAGCCCTGTGCACAACCCAGTCTATGATTGCTTCAGCTGCTACTGCCAGTGCTGTGCATCTCTCCTGTGTATGCGTGTCTCCGTCTGTGCGTTCCTTTGTGCAGGGATTTATTGAATGCTCAGCTCGACTGCAGAAAGACGACCTCCGCGATCTTCAGACCCCAGGTGACAGCCCCATGGCCTCCTCCTTCTCCAGGATGCGCCGCGTGGAGTCGCGGTCAGCCTCGGCCACCTCGGCCTTCTCCGTCCTAGGCCGGAAGCGGCTGAGCCGAATCAACTGAGCTGAATCAACTAAAACCCCCGTGCCCGTGCATTATTAATACTGTGGATGGACGAAATCCTGCACCACCTCAGAGACCTTGGAAGGATGATTCCCCTGTAAATTCCAACAAAGAAAGGTTTGCCATGGGTTCCAAGTGGTGCAGTGGGGGCGTTTCTCTCCAAAAGCGATGACTCCCCAACTAAAACCAGTGTCAACATTAGGCAAGTGCCGCCTACAAGCCTACAAATGTGGCTGTCTGACCACCTCGCCAGTTCTTCATCTTCATCGTCATTTTGCTTGTCTGCATTTGTAGCCGAATTGCCCGCTTATGAGACCATCCCGGTGTCGGATAAACAAGTGAAGCAACCCAACTGCTGTGCAGGCTGGTCATGTGTGTGACTTTCCAACTGTTTAACGTTCAAAATGGTTGATTGCTGCTGCCCTCTGGCCCCCTGGAAGCGGGGCCAAAGTAATGTTAACCAAAACCAAGCTAAACTCGTGGCAGTGCTTTTCAGATCCTCGGAACTGAGGCCCGCTTGAAGCTGACCAGTGACATTAAGAGACCATACATCGCAGTGCAAAGTCCGCTAAGAGAAAGAGGTAGAAGCAATTTAAGCTAGTGAAAAGAAAGTTGTATTCGTTGAGGGAAAAACACACCCAGCATTCATTTAGAAGAAAGGTGGTAATCAGACAGGAAAGACGTATTCAAGAGGGAGCTTTGTGCCGTTCATGTTTTCTTGAAGCATGCATCAGTGAGCAAATCATGGCACCGCGGGATTCTGGACCCCTGAGCCAAGCAACACGCGATCCTTCACCCAGGTGGAAACGGAGACATGTGGAATGGGCCAAGGCAAGGCGAACCCCTGTCATTTCCACCCAAAAAAGAGGGGTCAAAAAGCAAACCCCTGACACAAGTTTGTCAAGGTGCTGCTCGGTGAGGCTCGCCTTCTCCTTCCTGGGCTTGTCTGAAAGGCTTCCAACACGTTTGCCCTAGTCTTGTCCTTGAACATCAAAACGCTCAACCACATCAGCCAACAGCCCAATCCGATGGCCTGGTCTCAGCAAGTACCCTTTTTGGGGATTGCAATCCTCAAACATGCCCAAATCGATCATTTGTTGCAAAGAGACATGTGCTACGTTGGGGCTAGCCTACCTAAGCCTAGTCAGTGGCCTATCCAAATGACCGTTCAGAGTTTTCGGGGAGGTTCGCTGAGGCAACGACATGACGCAATATAACTCACCATGAGAACCTTCCTGCGGCACTTGCCTGCAGCATCTGTTGCTGCATTGTTGCCTGTGATCCAACCGAGTGCTTCCCCGATGTGTGAAGAGTCGTTCCTCATGTTCCCTGCCCTCACCTCAGAATATCTGGGGGAAATTACAACGCTTTAACCTTTAAATGGGATTTAAGTGGGGGGGCAAAAAGCATCAAATGGATCGTTCCCCCGAGAATTTCCATTGAAAGAACTCTAAACGGGTATCCAAAAAAAACAACAAAAACAGACCAACCAAACAGAAAAACACGAGCAAACAAGCGCAGAACATTCAGCTGCCCCCTCACAACCTAAGGGAGTGCGACTTCGCTTGCCGTTCCAAGTCTCTCCAGCTCGATGCCTCATTTGAAGCATCGAAAGCGCCAAGAAGCCGCAAGGCCCAAGCTTGAATCATTGAACACAGATTCACTCAAAGAGTTGATGCTGTTTTCGGTCCGTCAACACGGTTGGCCATTACAAACATGCAAAGCACCATTCTTTCCCTGCGCTGAACAAACACACATGCATGCCTCTGAAGACAGTGGCCAATAAGGCCCTAGCATACCCCCGCGTCACAGGTACTTGCAAAGGCGTCTGCAAAAGGCCCACCTCTTCCAAGAAGCCTGCGCCTCCCTAAATCATACATGCTTCCTCCAAAAGATCGATAGGCATTTCATGAGACACTTGCCTGCTCAATGGAAAGCCAAAAAAAAACACTGACCCGAGTCTCCAAATGTCGTTGTGCTTTTTGTTTGTGCTTTTTCTTTGGGGGAACGGCTTGGGAGGTTTGGCCAAACGTTGGCCAAACGGGAAAGCAAAGAACACCACCCAAGTCTCCAAACATATGGTTCTGATTTCTTCTTTGGGGGGCTTCGGCAGGTTCAAGCCTTGTGCTCGGCTTAGGTTCAAACGAGGCACGGGCTTCGTTCAAGTCCCTCTCCAGCTTGTTGCTCTTCGACACGGCGAGCCGTGCCCCGTTGCTGTAGTCCTCCTCCTTGCGCTTCACCCGTCTCAGCTGCTCCTCTGTGCAGGGATCCTTACTTGGTTGCTGTTGACCCCCCTGCAAGAAGTTTAACTTTTGGGGGGTTAGTGGAAAACTCCTGCATTTCCCAAAATAGTTAAAGTCTAAAGATCCAACCCAATAGCAGTCAAGCTTACATTGTACGCCCGAACATTGCCTTGTAAATGGTGGTCTCCCTTTATTTTGCTGAAAAAAGCCATGTTTCAAAAATGGGCAAAATGTATCTTTTAAGGAGCCCTGTCTGTGCCACGAGAACAACCGAGGCCCATTTGAGTCTTCTCTATTTTTTGGAAGGATGTCAACTTGAAACAAGGAACATGCCCCTGGCCACACGGCCTTTTCGTTTCTGGAAGGATGCAATTTTCTTGGTGGAAGGATGCTTTTTCCTTGTGGAAGGACGCCCTTGAAGGTTCAGAAACAAGTTGAAACATACACAAGTACGTTGTCCTGGAGCAAGATGTCCCAAACTCACTCCGACAAACGAATTTCCAGCTCTGGTACTTTGCAGTTGTTCTAGTGGGACTTCAGAAAAGCGCACGCCCGTTCAAGGCTAAAGCGCCTCACACGGCACAAACGCAGGAATCCCCAGCAGTCAAACCCGGCCCCTCTGAGTGAGTCCGCTCGGTTAAGTGCCATCAAAGAAACTAATCAATCATAGCTCCACTAACTCATCTCTGCAAAATTGGCAAAACAAAATGAGAACATCTTGAAATTTGGTGTTAGTGTATATCATGTGCGTACTTCTGACCCCAAAGTGGCGGCACCTGCGCAGTCTGCGGTTGGGAAGACCTTCATTTCGCTCCTCGCTGGACTTCAGCAGCTCGCTTTTGCCCTTGATCTCCTGGAGTGGGTTGCACATTTTTTCGGCATCCCCCGGAGACAACGGGCAAAAATGCGGTTCAGCCATGGCAGAGAAGAAATAGCGGCTGACAATGCGAAGACTTGTCTCAAGCAAGCCAACTTCTGCCTAGGCTGATGCCGAAGGGCTGCGTTCTCCAGGTGCGGTGAAGGATTCAACGGTTGGGATGCAACTTTTGGGTAAGGATGCGCAAGAACAACTACACCTGATCTTGGCAACTGCAAATGCCAGTAGCCAAAGTCCCTGTCAGCCACTGTTGTCAAAGCTATCCGATTTCACCAAATGCACATGCCCATGTACAGTTGCAGAATTGCGTAGTTGATTGGGTCGACGTAAAGTTGGACAAAACGTTATCTACAGTTGCCTAGCTGCACGGCTGGAAAAAAGGCACAGTTGTACAAACCAAACGTACATCTATGCCTGCAATGTAAAACTACACGTCATGAAATGTAATGCACTGAAGTGTGATGTAATGCCATGGGATTTGATGTGTTGTGTAATGTGATGTGTGTCTGCTGAACGGCGCATCACAACCCCTCCTCTTGCAGGCTCTTTGCCTCCGCTTGGCCTTTCAGCATCTTCTGCTGTTGAGCCTGCGCTTCTGCCTTCGCAAAGATGTGGTGGCAGGCCCCAAGCAGGCAGACAAAATGCTACAAACACGAAGTCCATCAATAAGGTGCAAATGTTGATTTGTTTGCCAACTCAACATAGGTAAGCCAAATAAGATTGCCACGATAAGTGACCAGCTTCCCAATGCATGTGTGCCCATTGGGCCATGCGATGCGTGTTGTCTTCATACAGTCCAACAAACAACACATGAAGCCCAAAACGTGAACCTGACAAAACAGCTCCAAACCTGGATCCGAACAAAACCCGTGTGTTCGCTCCATGCGAGGCCGTCGGACGACGTCCACTGGCAATTTCAAGACCTGCTTGAGCTCCATTAGTATGACACCCGTAAAGTTTTCAAGAGTGCCTGAAACGCTTGGGAGTGTGAGAGTAGAGAGGATGGACCGAAAACTGGCACTCTTTGCCAGCGCCAATGCTGCCTTACCGCTTCTAGACAAGTCCTCGTGGCTCAAGACGGTGAAAAACCTCCAGCCAGGAGCTTTCCGAAGCCCCAGCGCCAGGCAACCCCCATTTGGCTGTGGGTCAAAACCAATGGGCTCAAATTTGGTTGGTAGGTGCACCACCCATTTTAGAACCTATTTTAGTGGGGATTGGGCTGTTCACTGGGGGTACGGGGCTTTTGCTTTTGCTTAAGCCAGCTTTCGGGATTCGCATGGGCCCGTTGCTCGGCAGCCACGCAAGCGCATCACTATGGTGCGGACAAAGGAAAGCACTAGAAATTCAATACCTGGTATCTGTGAGCCCCGAGCCTTTGCCAGGATAGCTTGATGCGAGGTGGCGCCACCATTCATATTTGCTTTCTCTTCCATCCTGGCAACTTCTGTCACAAGGCGGCCACTCTGATTGACCCTCCACTTGATGCGTCCTCAAGGCAATACCCTTCAAATTGTATATGAAGACACACCCATGAAACGAAGTGAAGAGATCCGGAACCTTCCAAACACTTTGCACGCCATTTCGGTGCCTGGACTCCTGCTCACTGAGACTCTCCGCCCGCACGGAAAAGGACCTCTCCTGCAAGGCCACCCCACACAAACCGGCAGAAAGAGGTCAAAAATTATCTGAAATTCTGCGGGGGGAGAATCTTCCGGTTGAACACATCAAAGCGAGTCGTCGTGGTTACTACTTAAATAGAATTGCAGCCCATCTCCAAAGTCCCATGCGATTCGGCCTTCGGACACATAAAGTCCAAGCAAGCAAAGGCCAAAAACCAGCCCTGGTAGTCTCTTCCAATGAAGCACCAACCTTTTCTGCCGAGGTAAGCCATCTCATGCTAGTTGACCATGGTTAGAGCCGGGAACCCACCAACCAAAAAGTTGAAAACAAACCGGGCCGTTCAAAACGAGGTGTTGGCCAATCCGATTTAATCCCCGTGACCCAAGAAAGGATTAAGGACCTTTGAACAGCTCAAACAAAAACGGCCGACCTCCCAAGTTGATTCCTGGCTGGTGAGCTGCTCCACGCGAAGCTTGGCTGCAGCCAGCTGCTTCTGCTTGACCATCAGCTCTCCCGTCATACGCGCCTTACGAGGCTGAATTGACACTCATGCAGCTGTTTAGTGGGCAGAAGGCCCACCGTGAGCAAACACCCACTTGTTTCTCAATGCCTTGGTGAGCGGTGTGGCAAAGTTGCACTTGGGCACTTTGACGGAAGGGCCCTCCGCACTGTGGCCGAAGCAAAAACAGAACCATCCACACCGGACAAGGTAAGGGAAAAGCAAATTTGCGGCCGCAACCCTGTGCTGCAATTGCTTATTCTGGTCCAGCTTCATCAAAAAACTGGCGCTGGAACAACCAATCCTGGTTGTCCGCAGCTCTTGCGGTGGGTGGATTTGGGGTACCAGTAACTTCCTTTGCCCAGGGCGTATTTACCGGATGACACTAAGAAACCTTGCCATGGATTACTGCTTGGAGCATTTGCCACTTGTAACGCCTTCCATTGGTATCATAGAAGTGCTCAATTCGCTCATCCCTGGTGGGGGGGCTTGTTTGGCACATCCACCCCCGCATGTTCTTGCATTTGTAAATGAAAGATACTGCCAACCACAAACACTGCTAACAACACGCAAAGAACCTCACGGGAAACATTCAAGGCTTTCAGCCAATGGCAAACCACTTGGAGGACCCCCAAGCAAAACTCCCCTTTAAGACCACCCAAAAAAGGGTCATTTCCAACCCCCCCCCACCCCAAACACTCCCCTTTAAGACACCCCAACGAAAAGGCGCCCCATCTCCTTGGCGACCATTCCAATGCCTAAACCAACCGCCCGGCTGCCACCGTGCTGCCACCTCCGCTTTGGCCTCCAGCGAGCTGGCTGAAGTCCCGGAAGCCTGCGATGCGCACGTTGGCCCCAGCCAAGGTCGTTTTTTTTTTGTTTTAAAGAAAATCCACTTTGGGAGTTGGTTTTTAAGGGAAATCCACTTTGGGGGTTGGTTTTGAAGGGAAATCCACTTTGAGACTTGGTTTTGAAGGGAAATCCACTTTGGGTTTGGTTTTCAAGTGAACAACTAGACTAGGAGAATCAAACAATTTGGAGGTCTACGTCTTTTGGGAGGTTGGCTTTCAAGGGAAACTCCTAGACGCCATGTTTTTGGCAATCCAGTTTGTATGGCTGGCCTACAAGGGAAGCGACCACAATCAACCATTTGGAGGTTCTCAGTTTGAGACAAAGCCATTCCAACAACATAACATGCCCATTGACTTGAGACCGAATAATGTTCCACACATTCAGCCCGAGATCCGGCCACGATTTGAGTGCGCTGTACTTTGAAATGCTTATTGGTTGCATGATGCCGAAGACAGAAATTCGGGGCAAAGTAAATAGAGGGAACCATCACCGTGCCGACAGAAATCCCGGGCAAAGGAAACAAAGGGAAATCATCGTTAACAACTCTGCTCCTTGCTCCCTGCTGCCGCACGAAACTGGCCTTGGCCAGGCTGAGTCCGACCTCAAAAGCAGAAGCCATGAGTTGGCAACGGTTCGAACCTGCTCCAACGGCCAGTCTGGGAGGCCACGGACGAATCGCATGAAAAACCTCCGTAGGAAGCACGAAGAAGTTGGAATGCCACCCGCAGGGAATGGTTTCGCTGTGTCCAACAAGAGCTGCTTGCTTGGCTGACTGACCTCTTTGCCTGTGCCAGCAGATTCAAAGGCCTTCCCCACGAAAGCTCTGTGCTTACAATCTTGGCAATTAGCATGAAACTTATCGTGGACTGGTGTCTGGAAAGCAACACCATTGGCTTCTGGCTCATTCTGGCAGATTGATTATCGCAGTTGCCCACTGACAAGGGCCCTAGTTCTGTTGCTCTTTGGCGCTGATCAGCTTTAGGAAAAGGGGATGAACAAGGCTGCCACTGAACAACTGGCTTACCCTCAGCCACAGGCTTCATTGGGCGCCGCAGCAGCCACTGCGAACAGCACCGGAAGCAGCTTCATCGCCCCCATGGCTCGAATGGCGAGATGGGAGCCGAGCTGCGAGCTGAGCGGAAGTTTGGGAAGATCAAGCCACACCCTGCAAGGCCCCCAAAGAGTGGTTTTTCTTGGTTGCTGTTGACCCCCCTGCAAACAGTTTTTTTTTGGATTTTGTTTTACTAGAAAACACATTTATTTCCCAAAAAGTTAAAAAGTCTAAAGATCCAACCCAATAGCAGTCAAGATTTGTCCAAGCATGTCACAGGCAACCCCTAGGTGCCGCGAGGCAAATCTGCCTGCAGCCCAGCTGACCCAACGATCAAAACAGATATGTTGAAGCAGCCGCACCGATCAATGCCCCCAGTGGCCACAAAATTCTGGATCCGCCGGCACGGCCAAAGAAATCTCCCTAGACCTGGAAATCCAGGTAAGCCACGGATTTCGCAACCGTCCACAACATGTTTTGTTTTGTTTTTTGTGTGTGTGTGTTTTTAAAGGGAAACTCAAGAAAAACAAGAAACAACGGAAAACAGGCCATCTTGGTGCCCCCGAGAAAAGGACGGCCCCAACTGAAGGTCCCAGGCAGAGTCTCCCCAGCAGGCCCCGAATCAAAGCCCCACCTGAATCTCTCGGTGGCATTTCTGCCGCGGCTCTGGCTCAAAGTCTGGCAAAGGCTTCTGCACCTGAGAGGAACCAAGGAAGACTCACGACAACGAACGGGTGTGCCTTTTTTTGAGGCTTTTGTTTTTTCTCGCTGGTTTAAATTAGAAAGAAACGGGATAACAAAAAGGAACACAATTATCGGTTTATGTTTGTTTTTTGGGGGGGAGGGGCACCTACAAAAACACACACCCAAATCATACCCTCCGCTCCACTCCTCGCAACCGGACTGGGGACTAGAAGGCCCTTTTCCTTTAGGAGTTGCCCCAGGCATACTTCGAGAAGGGCTGGCAACCATAATGCGCACACAGGCGCCGCATCCAATCTTGTAATTGGCAGCACTTTGGATAGTCCGGTCAAACTGCAACTCTTGAAGTGAGTTGGGAGCTTCCCATGCTGCCTTGGCCCGGCCGATGACAAGGCCCCGGTCTCTTTCCCTGACCTGCAGCGCTCATGTACGTGCCGGGCACCACAAGGGACAATGATTGGGACAAAACAAATGATTGGCAAAATCCCTCGCGACAAGCAAATTTTGGCTCCCAATTGTGATACCGCCAAAGAAGTAGGTCCCTCAGTTTGACACATGCCCGGCGCGAGGGGTGTGCAATTCCGCAGTTCACTTCCTCCCACATCCAGCCAGCCCCACAATCACTCCGCTTTTGCCCATAAAACCAAAAGATGAGATGTTTGAATCTGGCTTGGATTTCGTGAAACCTTAAGATGCAGAACTACCGCACTACCTCAAAAGAGATCCCGGTTCGAACATTGGCCCGGCCTCTCGGGGAGGCTCCGGCGGCTCCGGCGGCTCCGGCGACACTGGCGGTGCTTCCACCACTGGCGGGGCCTCCTGACAGCTTGCTGGGGCGTCAAAAACCCGTAACTACCCCCAGTGAACATCCCAATCTCTCCTCACTGAAATTGGTAAACTGGGCGGTGAAGTCACCTACCAGCCAAAATGGTACCCTGGGTTTTGAACCATGGCCAATGTACCCAACCTAGTTCCCATCGTTGGCACCTGAGGCTTCGGGGGCCTGGGAGACGATCTTCCTTTAAAGGCGCCGAGCCTCTGGTCCCTTGGTGGGTTCCAGGTTTGGGGCCAGGTCACTAGTCACTGGATCCAAATCGGAGATTTGATGGGAAACTTTCAGCATGCACTCACCCAGAGCAACAAGATGGAAGTGAGAAGGAGCCCGAAAACGTGCCCTCCCTGAGTCGTGTAGGTTGCTTCATGTGGGGCCCTGCGGGATCTGTGGCTGACCCTTTCAGGCACAGTTCATCATTAACGCACGACCGATGGCAGGAGCGGCAGGAGCACGCAATACCGCTTGGCAAGAGTGAATGGCAGTCGAGTGCCAAGATGTGGCTGGAAACTCCAAATATCACCTGAAATATCCTGAAAGTATGCAAGAGGCTTATGTTCTCAGCGAGCCCCTTGCCAAGCAGTACTCTGAATGATGTTCGGGTCTTAGTGGGTTCTCCTCTGTCAGAAACGCTGCGGGGCTGCGTGCGTGTTACCAAAACCAGCTGGCGACCCTTTCCGAACCAGGTGGTAACATTGCCTCGGCAGGCGTCAAGCTTCCACGAAACACGTTAGTGCGAACTTCTCTACTCAACTTGCCAACCTTAGAATTGGCTGACCAGAATGAGGCATGAGGTGCACAGGTAGAAGGACAAATGACAACAACCTCAGCTTCTCTCTGATTGGTGGTTTGGATTGATGCCTTGGTGAAGGGATGGTTTCCCATTTACCCACTACAAAACGCCAGAGGCTCAAATCACCCAAGCCACCCAACCCAAACCACCAATTGGCTGTGGGTCAAAAAGTGGGCCAACAATTGGCTGGCAAATGGAACCAAGGACTAAAACCTGCGGTCCAATTCCCTGGTGGTTAAACTTTGACACATACCCAATTCATGGCAACATGACAACCAGCTTCCCTCTGATTGGTGGTTTGGATTGGTGCCTTGGTGGTGAAGGGCAAAAGCCAGGGCCTCAATTTACCCAAGCCACCCAAACCACCCAATCCAAATCACGAATTCAGGGTAACCTCAACCCCCCCAACCACCCACAGCCTCTGCATCGCTCTCCGGAGCGGCCCGCTTTGCTCCCCGAGCCGCGGGCCGCTTCATGGCCTCGCAGGCCGGCGGTCCCGGGCTGGGAAAGGGAGTTCTTGTTTTATATGTTGTTGTTTCTTTAGCGTTTTTGATATATGTTACCTTATATATTTGTTTTTCTCGGCGGGCACTTGGAGTGTTTGAGATTGAATAAAGAGCAATTCCTTGATTGCCTGCAGTGGCTTGCTTGTACTGCTAAGGGCTTTTATCGTCCAAGCTTTTTTTGGACCATTTCCCTTGGCTGTCAAAAGGGGTGTGGGTCAGTCCCAATTGACAAGTGCTCAAAGGCGTCAAGGCTGCCCAACAGGCTTAACTTGTTGAACTTCCCGATGGAGTTCATCAATTTCTCAGTTGCCCAAAGGACCCAGAAACAAAAGGTTAACCTTTTGGGACCTTTACTATCAATGGACCAAACATGGGAAACCAAAAGGTCAAAAGGTCGGCTTTGGGCAAGTGAGATTTAATTTGGGACCAAAAGCCAAAAGGATATGAACTGCTGTACAGCATGGTCTGGCAAAATGCCAGAATGCACATGTTAAACAAACCAGACCAGCAGCACCATCAACATCCCCAGATCTTTGCCTAACATCCCAGGCATCACAACAAAATCTGGTTTAGGCTGGGTTTAGCGGTTTGTTTATAGGGCATTTGGTTTTCTAATCTGGCGCAGGGCTTTGAAGAGGGAATGCATAGGGTTGGTTTAGTACTGGTCTAGGGTTAATTTAGAGTTGGCTTAGGGATAGTCAAGGGAGTGCCGCGCAAGCAGAAAAACATATGTCAGCAATAATCTGCAGAACCAAAATCAATTATGTGGTCACATTTTGTTGCTTGTACTGGCCTCGGGCAAGCAACTAGCCCGAGCTTTCAAAAGCTGTCACATCAACCACCCCCACATGGTTTATAAATCCTAGTAGAATAACGCATCTGAAGAGTTCGCGAAAACATATTGCAGTTGCAATTGCACCCTCCACACAGGGCGCGCAGTCTTAAATCCTGTAGCCAAAAGGAAGCATACTGCACTCGGACTATCGATGCCTTGCTTGTTTTTTGATGGATTTCTTGATGCGAGCAACAAAAAGCCCACGTTTGCGCTTGTACATCATAACGTGGGGGCAAACAAACGGCCGGCTTTGCCCGGTCGGGGAAAATATGCAGAAGATGCACACATACTGCTCTAACGCCCATGTGCCCGAGGGCCTTTCCAGTCATCGCTCACGGCTACTTTGAGCCACTTGAAGCGGGGAGGCAATGAACACGCACTGTGGCAGACCTTCTGAGCCCTCAGACAATTCAACATGAATATGCACATCGATGTGCATGATAAGCGGTTTCCACGCGCGAATCACAGGGAGAACACACATTTGGATCGAAAGCACATGAACACAGCCTAGGGCAACCATGCGAGCCTCAAGTCACTAGTACATGTCTTCATGAGAGTGTTTTCAAGACACTGCACCACAGGGCAAGAGTCAAGTCATTGACAAACGCCTGGCTCACATCGCACAATGTAGCGGGCTGGTGGCAAATGCCCTTTAGCGTGGCTCTGAGATTCCTACCCAGAGCCCATTTTCACCCCCTGCCCGCCTGTTTCATATCCAACCGGCACTTGTTTGTGAGCTGATTAATGACAAAGAAACTGCTATGGTTTCCTTGCTGCAAGCCCTACGCTAAAACAAATCAACATAACCCCCCCCCTAACATGTCGCAAGGCTGGTCACTTGTATGGGTGCTGAACCGGCTGCCTGACTCCTCCACAATGCCCCGGAAGGCTGGGAAGCGCGTTCCCATGTCCTGCGAGCAAGTTGCCACACAAAGCGTGATCGGCATTGGTGGTGGAAAAAGAAAGCAGAACTCGGCATACACATGACCAATGACTACTGTATTCGGAGATCCCAAAAACAGGAATCCAAAGTGTGGCTGCTGAAATTTGTGTGTCGAGGGTACTCTTTGTGCCCTTGTTGGAATTGTTTCTCCACGGAAGTCAAGGACACCGCCCGATTTTGGGGACGGAGTCTCGTTTTCAAGGAAAACCACCTGAGATCCATTGCTCCCGTCACTCAGTCCCGAGGCAATGCTGCCAGCTCGGGCAAACAGGTCAAGAATGCAAAAGAAGCCTGCAGGCAAGGGCTGAAAGGAGGCAATGGACAAAGCCCAAGACCTAGGGTAGAATGAACCATGTGCCTTTTTTTGCAAGTGCTGGTGCTTGAATCCTATTCAGGCATTTCAGCATATTATTAAGTCGGGAAGTGGTCCGCAAGCCAAGCGTGGAAAGAGGAAATACCTGTGAAAAGCGTGACTCATTTCACCGGTTTTCCTTGTTGGTTGGCGAAGGGAGTGACAGCATCTACATGCGCATGCGCGCGTAGATACTGTCAAGCCACCAAAAGAATTGCAAAGCAAGCTTGCTCGCAGAAGTGAAAGCATCTGGGCTGGCGCTCACAGTCGCCGCAACGCAGCCTTTTTCTCCGCATTCTACTTCCAGGGAAGGCGGCTGCACGCATGCGCTGTCGGCACGCTGCACGTGCACCGACCGGTCAAGCAAGCGCCCACTTTACAAATGCCATGAAGACATGCATAGCTTTGTTTGACACTCTTTGTTAAACAACATTATTTACGTACGGACTTGCTCCTACAAAAAACTGAGGGGGGGTGCTCTCCAGTAAAACTCAAAGCCGCATCACTGGGAAGCAGATTGATATATACAAACTTCTCTGCCCCCCATATCTGACAAGAAACGATCCCTCTCAGCACTGAGCTATGTGCAAGTACAAAATTCACATTAATTCAACATAGCTCAACCATGCGTGTTTGCACACGTCTGATTTTATCAATCAGCAGCCAGACCTCTGCCACTCAACTTGGATGCTTGCTGCGTTCTGTGCAAGGCACCAGCTCCTTTAACAAAGAGCACTGGAAGATCAATCAAACTAATACTCCCATACTCCCGGCTTCGTGGTTTGATAGGTAAAGGCCATGCCTGGGGGAAGTGCGGAGCTTGCTAGCAAGTGTGCGATGTTCATGGGTCATAATGCCTGTACACCTTTGCGGGGCATGCTAAGCCGAGCTAAAGGGTCATGCCCCACAATCTCTGCCAAACAAATGTCATGCTGTCTACCTAGACTGGTTGGGATCTTTCCACCCGGTTTTCTCAGTTGGCAGGTCGCAGGTACATAAATCCAGCCCGGCGATGAATTCACTTCCCTGTCAGCCATCGGAGCGGCCATTGCAAGCCCGAACCTGCTGCGAACTGGGGGAATCTTCAAGAGCCCGCTCAGGGCGATATGGCTGTGAGATAACAGAGCATTCTGCACGCGCAAGTTACGGACATGGTATCAAACATGTTTGTACATTATTTCCTGGCAGACAAACTCAACAAGCTTGCAAGGGATCACATCAATACCCAATTGCTACTTTGACATTGCTTGAGTCCAATGCGTACGAACCATGCATATGTACCCAATCTTTGTTGCTCACCTTGGTCGCAATTAGGTGTGATAAGACGGATATAATACACGTTTACCTGACTTTACCTGTATGTATGTTATTCTCAGGCGTCACTGACCCCCCACACCCAAGCGCTTGCACACCTGGTCCTGCACGACCCCCCCCCTGCGCAGCAAATGCTGTGGCATGATGCCCCTGCGGAAGATCCTCAGATCGAACAGTAATTGAAGGAACTCGCCTGGAAGCAAGCTGCCGCCGCAGCGGCCACCGTGCGAACATTGAATCAGCACAGAAAAGAAGCTGCATGTAGTTCAAGGATCAGGCCACCAAGCGGAGATCGAATGGGTGGACTTCGGCGGAAGTCAAATGGACAGCGGCGGATGGGCGGACATCGCGCAGAAACATACGGACACCGACATTAGTGAAATTCGAATGGACATAGAGCGGAAATCGAGCGGCGATCGAGCGGAAATATGCGGAAGTCGAACAGTCGTGTGCGGAAAGCTTTGATGAGCGAAGTTCCAGTAGCAACCGATCTGAAAGGCGGACATCAGCTCACCGGAATTGAATAGGAAAATTGCGGATATTCGCCAAAATGATCCAACAAAACTGACATGTTCCACTTTTCTGAGCATGCCCCATTCATGTAAGGTTGAAGAACTTGCCTTTGCACAGTTGGCAGAAGAAACTAACACTGTTCGGGCTCCATCTGCAGGGCATTTCTTCAGCGAAGCCCATTCGGGAGAGTAGATCAAGGTCCACGTTTTGCAACCCGTCGGACATGGCAAGTGGAGCACCTCCTGATACGCGCTTCCTTTGAGCATTCAAGAGTTTCAAGTGCCCCAGCCTGCTACCAATTGCAGTTCAATCATGTTCAGTCAATTCTCGGTGCCAGCGAAACACTGACATCCAGATTCATTCACTGCGGTAGATGTAGTCGCGACTCTCAACAATTGATAACCCTGCCAGCGACAATGCAACATAACCTTGCACGCAAGGGCACGCGTCAAAGTCCCTATCACGCGTTGCTTCCTGAATTGCGAATTTGTCTGTGAACAGCAGTATTGAACATCTACGATCGACCTAGTTTTTGTCACTTGGGCTTCGCAGGTAAGGAATTTTGTTGACCCTCTTCCTTACGACGTGGGGGCGCCTCTTCGCCGTTGGCACCAGCTGCCGCGCTTGCCTGGCCGGGACTGAAGCTTCCCTGCCGATGCCAACTCAAGATTGCAAGAACAACAGACACCCTGTTCTTATCATATCTTCTCATCGAACCTCACACTGTTGTCAGTGAACCCTTCGGTATTCCTACATGTTGGCAATCTTCTGACTTAAGTGCCACAATCCAGCAAATGGCTTTGCTCAGTAGACTTCCTGAAAACATGTTTCTGAACGAGCTGACTCTCAATCAACTGATAGCTATGGCCGCCTCTCGAAACTCCAGTTCCTTCCTTGTGATCCCTTTCCCGCCGATCCGAGACAAGTCTGCTCCCAAAGTTGATGCGGCATTGCCAGGCGGGGCGTGTCGTTCGGGTGCGGAGCCACAGCAGGACACCAATAAAACAAGTCACCTCAGATCGAAACAGAAGTTCAAACCGCGGTGCCCTTCCCGAGCCCCCGAGCCCCCGAAGGATGTTTCCATCCCCCAAACTCGCGGAAGTGTTTGGTTTTTCCGTTGAAGCCAGCAACACCGGCGAAAAAATGGGGGGGGGGTCCATTTCAATCGCCTTCTCTCCTGCCTTCAGCTTCAGGAAGCACATCTAACTCCTGCCATTGGCCACGAGTTTGCAGAGACACCGCCAGAGATTTGCCCCATGGGATCCTGGTCATTGTGGGCTGAAAATCCCATCTGCGCGTGTGTCAGCCAGCAAGGAGGCACAAGGTGAAGTACCTTTCACGAATTCTGAGCGTAGCCATCCAAATCTCAATAACCGGGTATGTGACGATCTCTTCCAACTCTAGGTGGAAGGGGTCCAAAAGTATCAAAAAGGTCTATCACCATGACGCACATGCAACGTCCCAATTGTCTGCTGGCCTTCAGCACAAAGTCCAGGGCCGCATGAGGACAGCGGCCGATCTCGGGCAGCAAACCCTGCGCAAGGCTGTGCGTGTCCACGTTTTGTCACCGAAGGTGAACGCCAGTCAGAATTGCACAGGCGTTCGTGCTGGAACACACAGAGACCAGCAAGCATTGACATGTCAGGAATAAGTGAAGTCCCTGGACCAAAGTGGAGACTTACAGTGGACCTCTCACCCCCAATGGCGCTTGAGACACATCGTAATGCTACTCTGTAACTCCCCATGCGGGTGGTCGGTCAGTCCACTTCAAAGTCTGAAGCCATTACCAAAAGTTAGGAAACGCAATTGCTACGCCGGGCCTTGGCGAGGGCCTTGCGGGCGAGTGCAGGCAGTGATGGAAAAACTCCGGACCACTCGTGAAAGAGATACCTGCGCGAGGCCACAGCACTCTCTCAAGCTCAATAGAATGCTGCGCCAAGTTTAAGTGTTTGCTGGCCGGTGGGGAAAACACCCCTTTGGGCTAAAGTTTAGTCCAACCAAAGAGGCTGTGGGTCAAGAATAGGTACCCAAAATGGATCCCTGGCAAATCGAAACATGGACTAAAACCTGCGGTTTCCTGTTGGTTTAATTTCGACCCATACCCAAGAGCCATCATATGCAGAGTCGTTGTAGCTGAGGCCACAGGCTCCATCTGCTCCCCTCGCTGCATGAGCTTGGCGATGACGTGCTCGCACTGGGCGAACCTGGGCTGACTTCGGCTCCGAGTCATCGAGTCATGGCGCTTCTCTCGCCCTGGCTACGAACCGAAGAAAACCGCCAAGTGCCAAATTAAGCAGAACGAAATGAAGTCCTAGTCATACGCACGAACTGTCCGTTGGGTCAACCCGAAAATGACCGGGAAAAGCAGCGCCACAAGGCAACAAGGTCAGCCAAGCCAATCCTCAGATTCCTCTGGGCTGCCAACGTCAGACCCTCGTGAATGAGCAGCTCCTGCCATCCAATTTCAACACCCCTCAGCCCAAAGGAGGCCAACAGCTTGCTGGCAGACGAGCCCTAACCTACAGAGCGAACCACGTGCCGCTGGTTGTGATCTGCGATCTGGACTTGCGGCGTGTTTTTTTCTTTCCCCCTAGGCCCTATGCATAGGAAAACAAAGCCTGAAGCGGGGCTGGGCATAAAAAGATGGCAAGGGCACTGCGTCGCCGGCCTTGAACACAGCATCAATGACTTCCGCGGGCAACTCGGGGTCCATGCTGTACACCTGGCTCACTGTAAATGGCACAAGGTGTCGTCCTCCCTTGCCCGCGCTGCTTTTTCAGCATGCCGATGGCGTTTTCGCTCAAAAGGTGAGCACACATCTTCTCATGAGCGTCAGTGATCACTTGGCCAAACCTGGCGTCCTGTCTCATAACCCCAACCCCTGCGCCTGCTCAAACATGGCCGTGACCATTGCAGCAAAGAACTCTGGCCTTGCCGGCTGATGGATCAATGGCCAGTTGTCTCAGGCGGCTCCGGACTGTTTGCCCCTCTGAGCTAAGCCGCAAAGGCCAACAGGTTCAACAAACACAGCCTAAGGCTGAGGCACATGATTTCGAGAAAAAAAAGAAAAGAAAACAAAACACATATTTTGCCGAAAGCACCGCCCACATGTAGGAAGCTCGCCGTGCACTCAACACGTGTATCAAAACTTGGACTGTTCGCCTTCCTGGAACTGGATCGGAATCAATCGAAGCCCCTCCTTGTGCGGATGTATCTGCAAACCAAATAGAGGAAGTCCCGGCTACCTAAGGCGAGGCGGATCGCTCAAGCTAATTTCAGGCAAGTTCTGCTGTGATCTGCGGCAGAACGGAAAAAATGGTGTTCTGTCGGCTTGAGAGGCTAGGGCGCAAGCGTAAGCATAAGGCACTACACTGGCCATGCACCATCCAGAAGCATTGCCCCAAATCTGCAGCTCCCTGTACATAGGGAATCCAAATCTCCATCCTCTTCACGTTTGCCGCTGGTAAGGACATTCCAAATCACCGGCTTTCTTGCGCCAAGCTTAAGCTCAGTTGCCCAAAGGACCCAGAAATAAAAGGTTAACCTTTTGGGACCTTTACTAAAAATGGTTGCCAAACATGGGAAACCAAAAGGTCAAAAGGTCGATTCGCTTTGGGCAAGTGAGTAAGCTACTTGTTTCTTCCTTTTTGGGGGGACCTCTAGGTTTGCCGCCAGTAAGGGAACTCCAAATCACAGGCTTTCTTGGGCCAAAGTGTTTAAGTTGTCTTTAAAAAAACATATTTTGGGGGCTTTCTTGGGCCAAACATAAATTTGTTGCTTTCTTCTTGGGGGGGGGGGAAAGGGGCTTCACACCTTGCCGAGGTGCCCCAGAAGAAGCCGGTGTGAGGCATCGCCCGGATACTTCCATGCGCGCCTTCCGCCTCGCGACTCGCGACTCGCGACTCGGGCGCGACTCGGGGGTAGGTGTCCCTCCCCCAGACTAACATGGAAGCTGCCAGGACCCGGTTCCATTTGCAAAGTATTTTGGGAGGTTGCAGGACCCTTTTGGAAGACTTGGTTCCATTTGCAGAAGTCCTTTGGGAGGTTGCGGCTGCTAGTCTGAGGGAGCGTAGGTGTCCTTTTGGTAAAACAGATGTCTGGTCAATGGAATAAGACCAATCTAAAGCAGTACTAGTGCCATCCATTTTCAACTAAACTGCATGAAAAAGGACACCTATGGGCCTCTTCCATTCAGCCAATCAGTCAGTGAAACAGTCGGTCAGTCAATCAGCCAATCAGTCAGTCTTCAAACAAAACAACTCTGGCTGCTTTGCCAGGAGATGAAGCAACAGGCAAGTCCACAAAGAACCGCCAAAAAAACACGCGTGGGGCGTGCAGGCTGGAGACTTGTGGGCTATTCTGGGCTGCCCCGCGAAGGCCAGCAACCTGCAGGCCACGCACAATTCGTGCGCAAAGAAGCTCGCGGTCCAGAGAACCCTGCATTGTCTCAGCTCAGCCAACTGGTTGCCCCTTGAACCGGCGGTATCAAAAGATCGGACCCCGCTTCGGTGAGCTCTTGCCAAGGCAGGCCCCCTCAAGCCCAGTAGAAGGTCTGCAACCACGTTTCAGGGGCCCATCAGGGCCGTCCAAGGAAAACGCCGGCACCCCCAGCTGTCAAAGATGCATGACGGGTGGCAAGGTCGCGTTTTCCTTGGCAAGCCGTGGCCAGGCCTGACAGCGTGCAACTCCCAAGGCCCAAGCTTGCATGGTATGGTCCTGCAGGCAACACTGCAGCCAGACAGGCTGCAACTAGACCTAGGGGATCCTTTATTTCTACGGTGCGCCCTTTGGACTTCATCTCCTTTTTCCAATCAACCCATGTCTTGCTTTGCTGCTCTCATGGAGAGATTTGCAAGATCCTGAAATTGCAGGTGGGCGCACATATTCCCGGGCACTGACTGGCCTTGCTTTTTGGTTTCCGCGCACGCCTGATGGCCTTCGTGATGTTTTGAATGCTCTTGGCAACGCGTGGCCACGTGTTCTTGTCCAATGTTCCTTCCGTTTTTGGGCCGGAGCGCGAAGGAATTCCCCTAAGAAACGGGCAGAATTCCGTGCGTGTCCCCTCTGTGATATCGGAAGAAATGGAATTTCTAGGTATGTTGTGTGCACCACTGCGTGCTTGCGGGCGGGCGCAGGCCGGCGCGGGCGGGTTCGGGCTGCGTGTCTGCGTGTCCGCGTGGCTTTCGTGTGTTTTGCGTGTCTGTGTCTGCGTCTGCGTCTTTGTGTGTGTGTCTGCTTTTGTGCATGTGTGCTAGCGTCTGTGCCCGCGCGGGTTTGCGTGTGTGGTCAAGAATTTGTGTCCGGCGAGTCGCCCAAAGGTCTCACCGCTGGCTGCTTTGCAAGTGTCTCGCCTCACGTCGATCGATGACCTTTTGCACCACCCGCCATACCTGGCCACACCATGTCAGATCCACTCACGCAATCATCAATCGGAGCAGGCCTTGCCATCTGCGGTGTGCAAAGCGCTGGAGATCATCCCTCTCACCTGGCGGGGAAAACAATCCTACTCGCTCAGAATCCTTTGATGTCAAAAATTGTCAAAAACGGTCAAGGAGGAACCTAACCGTGCGACCAGTTCACGGCCACCTGGTCTGAGTCTGGCAGCGCAGCCGGTTCTGGAGAGGGCGGCCTGGCTGGACTTTAAACATGCAACACCACGCGAAACCATTGCTCGTTGGTATTTGCAGGCAGGAAAGGGGGACAGCATCCAACCGATCGTGTAGAGGGCGCCGTACTTGAAGATAGACATGGCAAGCTGTTGCTGTCGCTGTCGCTGTTGCTGTTGTTCCTGTCGCTGTCGCTGTTGCCGTTGTTTGTTGTTCCCTCCGATGGGGTGTTTCCGCGCGCTTTTCGCGTTTCGTTTCCCACTGTAAACAAGGGTTTCAGGGCCATTTTTGACGACCTGCGCGCGGGTTTGGAGCAGTGGGCGTATGTTGCGTTCACGGGCACACTTTCATGACTGAGCGCACGCCTGCCACATGATAAGCACCCACATTGACGCACGCATTATCATCATTGCGTGCATGCACACATTATCATCATTGCACACATTATCATCATTGCGTGCGTGCCTGCCACATGATCAGCATCCACGTTCACGCACACATTATCATCATTGCACACATTATCATCGTTGCGTGCATGCGCGCATTATCATCATTGCACACATTATCATCATTGCGTACATGCCTGCCACATGATCAGCATCCACGTTCACGCGCACATTATCATCGTTGCGTGCATGCCTGCCACATGATCAGCATCCACGTTCACGCACACATTATCATCGTTGCGTGCATGTCTGCCACATGATCAGCATCCACGTTCACGCACGCATTATCATCATTGCGTGCATGCCTGCCACATGATCAGCGCCCACGTTCACGCACACATTATCATCGTTGCGTGCATGCCTGCCACATGATCAGCATCCGCGTTCACGCACACATTATCATCATTGCGTGCATGCCTGCCACTTGATCAGCATCCACGTTCACGCACACATTATCATCATTGCCCCAAGGGCATATTTGAACATCGATGAAAACAAGCAGCGTCTGTGGGCGTAAAAACCCCAAGACGCATTGAACAGACAGAAAACTCTGGACCGAAAAACCGCGCGGTGAGAGCCCATCGAAGCGTTGTTGTTGTTGTTGTTGTTGTTGTTGTTGTTGTTGTTGTTGTTGTTGTTGTTGTTGTTGTTGTTGTTTGTTGTTGTTGTTGTTGTTGTTGTTGTTGTTGTTGTTGTTGTTGTTGTTGTTGTTGTTGTTGTTGTTGTTGTTGTTGTTGTTGTTGTTGTTGTTGTTGTTGTTGTTGTTGTTGTTGTTGTTGTTGTTGTTGTTGTTGTTGTTGTTGTTGTTGTTGTTGTTGTTGTTGTTGTTGTTGTTGTTGTTGTTGTTGTTGTTGTTGTTGTTGTTGTTGTTGTTGTTGTTGTTGTTGTTGTTGTTGTTGTTGTTGTTGTTGTTGTTGTTGTTGTTGTTGTTGTTGTTGTTGTTGTTGTTGTTGTTGTTGTTGTTGTTGTTGTTGTTGTTGTTGTTGTTGTTGTTGTTGTTGTTGTTGTTGTTGGTTGTTGTTGGTTGCTGTTGGTTGTTGGTTGCTGTTGGTTGTTGTTGGTTGTTGTCGGTTGTTGGTTGTTGTTGGTTGTTGGTTGTTGTTGGTTGTTGGTGGTTGTTGGTTGTTGTTGGTTGTTGGTTGTTGTTGGTTGTTGTTGGTGTTGTTGTTGTTGTTGTTGTTGCGGCTGTTGTGGTCGCCGGTTGCTGGTTGCTGGTTGCTGGTTGTTGTTGTTGGGTTGTGGTGGTGGTGGTGGTGGTGGTGGTGGTGGTGGCGTTGGCGGTGGTGGTTGGTCGGGGGTTTGCGGTGGCGTCGTCATAGGCTATCTTGTGGTTTATCGCATTTTCTACAATGTGCCGTCATCCAGCGCATGAGCCATGACAAGAACTAGCAAACCTCCGCGTCCGGCGCAGCCTTCAACAAAGCGGTGCCGGGAACTAGGCAATCTGCATTTCTTTGCGGTTTGCAAATATCTTGCGTGCAAGCTCGGCACTCATCCTACTGCTCTTTGCGGTTTGCAGGGGCTCAACGCCTTGATATGCGCTGGGTCGTAACAACTTGATAACTACCCCTCAGCGAAAACGCGAAAACAAGGCTAAGTCGTTGTTCGTGGCCCCACGATTTGGCCGTTAAAACGCGGCAACCATCACAGCAAACTGGGTCGCGCGTCAAACTCCATGTTTATCGCAAAGCCAGGGTTCATTGGTAATTCCCGTACACAGAAGTGACTCAAAGTCGAAGCTGCGCTGGGAAAGAGCGTTAAAAAATCAGAAGCCCGAAAAACAAACCGACCAACACGGTGTGTTGATTTGTTTGTCGTGGAACCAGCAGCTAACAGATCACGCCTCAAGTCGCGGCACAGCAGGCCAACAGCAGTCCACATACAGCCCGCTGTGTTATACCGGAACATGCTAGAGTTACATGGAGGGGTAGGCGGTGATGCCATGGAACTGGTTACTGCTCGAGAGTGGCAATTGCAGCGAAAGAAACGGTGCGGTCTCCACCTGTGTACACAGGGCTGTGCGTTTGTGCGTGCAACTGCGCGTGGCCTCCCCCCCACCCGCAAGAAGTTGCAAAATGAGCATTTTAGCCAGGGCCGTCTTCGACGACTCAGGCAAAAACAAGGACAAAGAGTGGCTCCATTGAGAATGACACCCTGTTCATTCCTTTGCGCTGAGGTGCTATATGTCGGAAACGTCCAGGTAAAGCCTGTGAACTGAGTTGGGCCGCGCAGTCGCAGAGACGAGGTGCTGGAAACAGCACACGATCATTTGCACCGACGTGGCCTTGTTGGTTGTTGCGTTCATTGATTGCTTGTTTGTGATCTTTGTCGTTGGCTTGATTGCTTTTGTGGTTTATTGTTTGTGTGTTTGTGTGTGTGTGTTTGATTGTTTGTGTGGTTGTGTGGTTGTGTGGTGGTGTGGTTGTCTGTCTGTCTGTCTGTCTGTCTGTCTGTCTGTCTCTCTGTCTCTGTCTGTCTGTTTGGTTCGATTGTTTGTTTGTTTGTTTGTTTGTGTGTTTGTTCGTTCTGTTGTCCTTTGTTGTCTGCGCCGTGTCGGTTTGTGTGTTTGATTGCTTGTTCTGTCTGGTTGATTGTTTGCTTTGCTTGTGTTGTTGGTTGTTCGTTTGCTTGTGTTTGGCTGTTTGTTTGATTGTTTGTTTGCTTGTTTGTTTGTTTGTTTGTCTGTCTATTTGTTTGTTTGTCTGCTTATTTGTTTGCTTGTTTGTTTGCTTTGGTTGATTGTTTCTTGGCTTCTCTTTGCGTGTGTGTGATTGTTTGTGTTTGTGTTTGCCTGTTTGCTTGTTTGTTGTTGCTTGTATGGTTGTTTGTTTCTGCGTGTTTTTGTTTGTTTGCAACTTGGAAGTTGGAAGTTGGTTGTTGATGTCAGTTGTGGTTGCCGCTGCTGCCGCTGCTCGTGCTGCTGCTGGGGGGGGTGGTAGAGCGCATCAAGCTGCTCCAAACGCATCAGCGCCTAACGAATCCGCCGACCCCTTTCACTAAAAAGGGGAGGCGCACGGGAAGGGTGGTTGGCGCATAAGTATAACCAAAGTTTCATCCTCATCAGCATCAGCAGCTACGATGATTGTTGTCATCACAGTCATCGTCATCATCAGCATCCTTATCATCATCTCTTTCCTATTCTCTTATCCTTATCATCATTATCATCATGGTCGTCGTCATCTCTTATCAGGCAGCATTGGTGATGCAGAGGATGCTACGATGATAGTTATCCTCACAGCCGTTAGTGATGCCAAGGATGCTACGATGATAATTATCCGCGGGTGATAACGATCATCACGCCCGTGCCATTATCATCATGGTCGTCGTCATCTCTTATCACGCAGCATTGGTGATGCAGAGGATGCTGCGATGATAGTTATCATCACAGCCGTTGGTGATGCTAAGGATGCTACGATGATAGTGATCATCCTTGTCATCATCTTTGTCATCATCTGATCATCACCTAGCATCATCTAATATCTTATTATAAAAAGAAATCACAAGGGACGTTAGACATCCTTGGCAATGCAAAGGAGGCGATGATGATAGTTATCAAGGAACAAGTAGTGATGCAGAGGATGTTGTGATGATAGTTGTCATGATGCGGATGCTAACGATCATCACGCCCGTGCTCATCATCTTTATCATCATCTGATGATCACCATCATCTAATATCTTAATATATAGATATCAAAAGGGACGTTAGACATCCTTGGCAATGCAAGGGATGCGACGATGATAGTTATCAAGGAACAAGTAGTGATGCAGAGGATGTTGCGATGATAGTTGTCATGACGCGGGTGATAACGATCATCACGCCCGTGCCATTATCATCATGGTCGTCGTCATCTCTTATCACGCAGCATTGGTGATGCAGAGGATGCTGCGATGATAGTTCACACCACAGCTGTTGGTGATGCTAAGGATGCTACGATGATAGTTATCATCCTTGTCATCATCTTTGTCATCATCTTTGTCATCATCTGATCATCACCTAGCATCATCAAATATCTTATTATAAAAACAAATCAAAAGGGACGTTAGACATCCTTGGCAATGCAAAGGATGCTACGATGATAGTAATCTTCATCTAATATCTTAATATATAGAAATCAAAAGGGACGTTAGACATCCTTGGCAATGCAAAGGATGTGATGATGATGCAGAGGATGTTGTGGTGATAACGATCATCACGCCCGTGCCATTATCATCATGGTCGTCGTCATCTCTTATCACGCAGCATTGGTGATGCAGAGGATGCTGCGATGATAGTTCTCATCACAGTCACAGCTGTGAGTGATTCTAAGGATGCTACGATGATAGTTATCATCCTTGTCATCATCTTTGTCATCATCTGATCATCACCTAGCATCATCTAATATCTTATTATATCTAGAAATCAAAAGGGTTGGCAATGCAAAGGATGCGATGATGATAGTTATCCAGGAACCAGTAGAGATGCAGAGGATGTTGCGATGATAGTTGTCATGACGCGGATGATAACGATCATCACGCCCGTGCCAGTATCATCATGGTCGTCGTCATCTCTTTTCAGGCAGCGTTGGTGATGCAGAGGACACTACGATGATAGTTAGCATGACAGTCATCCACTGCCCAATTGTTTAGACCCTCCTCGTCACCGCCGGGATTTGAGCCCCGGCCACGCGTGGCTGAGAGAGGCGCGGTGACCGACTGAGCTACGGGGCCTTTGGGGTGACAAGGCAGCCAGACGAGCTTGTCCTCGTTTCTGTGACAAATGTCCTCGTTTCTGTGACAGATGACATCGCTGTGCGAGGTATGTCATCGATTGTGCGGTAGAAGTCATCGTGTCGAAAAGATTGCCTTGAGACTCCGAGTCAGCCCTGTCAAGCTTGCCAAGTTTGTCAAGTCCGTCAAATCTGGCTTTCTGTGGCCATTTTGGAACTTTCTTATCTTCTTCCAAGCCGGCTTTGCATCACTGCGCGTGCAAAAATGTGCCATTTGCAGGCGTTTTGCACGATTTGAGGCCACTTGACAGACTTGACAAACTTGACAAACTTGACAGCCCGGAATCCAGGAGCAGCAGCGAGCTTTTGGTCAGGGAAAGCACCTCATTTTTTTTATTTGAGGTGTGGGAGTGGCATCCTTGTCTCTTTTCCTGGCGAGCTTTTTGTCAGGGAGAGCACCTCAAACTCATATTTTTTTATTTGAGGTGTGGGAGACTTTGTTTTGGGCTGCATCATCGTCATCATCATCATCATCACTTGTGTCTCTTTTCTTTTTGTCAGGGAAAGCACCTCAAATTAATCTTTTTTAATTTGAGGTGTGGGAGTGGCATCCTTGTCTCTTTTTCCTGGTGAGCTTTTTGTCAGGGAGAGCACCTCAAATTAATATTTCTTAATTTGAGGTGGGAGACTTTGTTTTGGGCTGCATCATCGTCATTATCATCATCATCCTTCTCATCATCATACGGCTGGCTGAGTCACAATCAAGACCAGGTTAAAACATGCAAGCAAAAATCAAAAGGGCAGCTGCACCCATTGATTGGGGCTGTTTCCCGAACTTCCCTTTCCTTGGCCCAACAAGCCAGCCGATTCGTGCGCCGACAGCTACCCACGAAGGGGTCGGCGGCAGCCCTTAAATCCGGCTACGCCTCCTTGGGGTAGCATGTCGCCGCTAGGCAATTAGCCTGCTAGCTTTAGCTATAGGGGCTGCACCCTGGTGCCGCCGACCCTCGCCACTTGGTCGTAATGCGCGGCCGAAATCCGGCACCTCTGCATCAGCAGCTCGGGCTTGCGGTTTTGCTTCACTGTGGGAAACCCTCGCGAAACATCGCGTATATGCAGGGGGTTTAGGCCATGTGGCTGACATCGTCAGGGTCTGGGGTTGGGCCTGGGTGATGCTTCAGCGGGGCTTGGTCTGCATCATCAAGACTTCCTTCCAAAAAGCCTCTCCACCCAAAAAGCACTGTTTTTAAGTAGGTATCGGAGGGGTATAAACGAGGCTCATTTTTGCGCATTTTGGCGCCAAGCGCTGCCGGGCATGCCGGCGATGCTGGGTCCTCGCTCTACAAAACGCTGTAAATACCGCCAAAAACTGCTGTGCTGAGCGTTGGCCTGTTGTTCTGTCCGTTTTGCTTTTGCTGTGGCTGGCTCGCGTGCTGCGCGGCCCTTGCTTTTTTCGCGTTGGTTTTCGGGCCTTCTGGCGCGCGCGCGCGCGACCCCAGCCACAAAACGCTGCTATTTGCAGTGTTTTGTTGCATTTGCGTTTCCGGCCTGGCTTGCGGGCTGCTCTTTTTGGGCTGCTTTTTTGGGCTCCTCTGGCGCGCGCGCGCGACCCCATGTCAGCCTTCTGGATTGGGGCCCGGATGGGGCCCAGAAAGCTGGCATCCCCGGCATTATCTGGGGTTAAGGTGGGCAACATGCATAACCTAACCAGCCATATCATAGCACACGCTACGTTTCTCATGCAAAAAACATGACATGACATGGTATAACTTCAAAGAGGCGTAGCCGGCTAGAGGCCGCAGGCCCAGCAAATAACAACAAGAATAACTAAACACTTTACCACGTCTAAACCTGTACGGACTAAAACAACTACCCCAGTATGTGCCTCCCTATTGATTCACACAACGTTACACAGCAAGCCATCGCAGAGTCTAAACTTGAGTCAACCAAGGGCTTGGGGGGTGTCCACTACATTTTGTGATCCTTCCAAACTGCCACTGTCACTTTCGAGTGATGGCCGGACTCTCAAAACTGGAGCCGGACAGGCTCAGGTGCATATCATGGATGCTCCCGACCCTCAAAATGCGGCTTTGCCTCGCTGAGGCAGCAATCTCCTGGATGCTCTCCGGCAACCTCAGCTTCCATTGAAGTCAACGCTGCCCTGACAGAAACTACCAGCACCGGGCGACTTCCGAACAGAGTATGCCCCGCTGCCCCCCCCAAGTGGCCGTTTCCAACATGCGGGATGTGCTCAGTGTCCCTAAGGTCCTCAGGCTGCACAAAGGCCTTCGAAGGCGCGTATTTTTTTGCTCCCAGCTTGCAGCTCGCACGCCGAGACGAAGCCAGTCACGGCGTCGCCGCGCGTTGAAGCAATAAGGCGCTCAGTGGGGTGGCTACCGGAAGGCCCACAAAGCGAGAGTGACATCGCTTGCCGAATGACAGGACTTTGCTGCGGATGCAAGTTACTGGAAACGCTGAAACAGGCCGTTGTAGAAGTCCTCAGCTGGATTGAGCGCCACTCATTTTAGTCACGGTGTACCACAGCACCTGCCCTGAACTTCCACCTTCAAAAACCCCGCTACAAACGAAACAGTTCAATCTGAATATGGCCATGGGTCAAAAACCCCACACCCCCAGTGAACATCCCAATCCCCACTAAAATAGACTACTGGCTGTGATGCCACGTCTTCACGCGGCCAGGAGGCGATGCCTTTGATATCCTCCGGGTCGAGGCCGTACTGCTCCGAGAGCAGGCGCTTGACGGCCCTAAACCCAACCCCATGTGCGGATCAGGGGGCTGTGGGTCAAAAACTGAGTAACCCCAAAATGGCTTGCCCTGGATGGAAACATGGACTAACACCTGTGGTTCCCTTGTGGGTTAATTTTGACTTACACCCATCGACTCCTTTGCCCCAAAAGGTGACAAGGCAAACTGGAGCCACAGGCAGGGCTCGCTCACAAAATCTCTTCCGGTGAGTCTGCTGGGTGTTGGTGGGTCTTTGCTTCTGGTCGAGCTATGACACAGCTTGAAAACGCTGGAGGGGGTTTGTTGGGGGAGGGCGTGCCCAAAATGCGGTTCCTCCCACGGCCCCACGCGCTGTTTGAGGGCACATGTCCTTTGCCAGGCTGCGGCAGCTGCAAGGTGCGAGGGGGTGGGATGGATAGGTAGTCCACCATCGTCAGCCTCCTGGTTGAGTTGTCTTTGAAGGTGACCACCTGAGCAGCGAAAAAGCGCCGATCAATTCAAACCCAAGCAGAAAGGATAAAGAGCCCCCACCAGAAGCATGACAAGGTTGCCAACTCCACGCTCCAAGATGTGTGCGAACGTAGACGCAGGCACCGGCTTTGCATGAGTGAGGGAAGGTGGGCACAGTACCGCTTTCACGCCGCTTGCTGCGAAATCGGAACGTTGAACCCAGAACAGTCGCAGTGAGCTCTATAAGGTGTGATGGTTTGGGCGCCTAGGCCTCAGCACAACAAGACACAAGTCAAGATGAAAATGGCTACCCGACACTTCAATGACCAATTGCCAACCACTGCGGAAGCGGGCGCTTCACTGCCGCATGTGAAACATCCCCGTCTCCGAGGAGCCAGGTCAATGGATGACATCAGGCGGTCTCCTCGAACATCGTCCACAAAGTAAGGATACAAGGCATGGCTGGATTTGTTCTTCGACAGAACGTACATCGCGCAGTTGTCCGGATTCCTGAAAGCGAGTAGCAACTGCAGGCTAACGCGGGCAATCACCTTATTCGAAGGGATTTGAAGGGCACGACGAAATAGCTGAAATAGAACATATGCCCCGGCAATCAAATCCTTACTTTGGCTGGAAATCGCTCTCATGGCCCATATGTAGATGGACTTGCGCCAAACTCTCCCCGAAAGAGCGAATGCCCACCTTGCGAGCAGCATATAAGTACTTGGGCTCATCTCCGAGAACCCAGGCACACTCGTGTTTAGGCTTCGCTTGCTTGGATGTGGTAGTTGTTCGGGATGTTGTTTTGTATGGGTCTAGATGCCTTCATCATTCTTCCAGCAGAGCCCGACGTTCTGCCTGCCTCATGAACTGTGCCAAGGCTCCAAACCGTGTGGAAGGTGTTTGGCGACCAATGAAACAGCTGCATCAGGATCAGACGCATGGTCAAGCCATGCGTGACAACCACCACTGCCTTGGCGCCCTTGTCTTCATAGACGTGTCCTGAGCAACCCAGGATACTTGCCAGAGCCACGTTTGTTTGCCCACATGCGTGGTCAACAAAATTAAGCAAGTTCCTTAATGGAATGAATGCAATGGCCAACTTCTTCAGTCTCACATGTGCGATCTGGGTAGCGATTCATGCGGCCATGACTCCTAAAACATAACCGCAAATTGAAGGCACTTCGTCAGCAAGCGGAATATCTGCCAAGCTTCTTCTCATCATAGAGTCCCACCACTGCTTCGTTCGGTCGTACACATCCGCACCACTCTCCCCAGTTGGAAAACGATACCTTAGGACTCACAGGCATTCCGGCCAAACTGGACGGACTTGAAGCTGTTCAACCCCAAAGTGCCCAAAAACCTTTTGCTTGGAAACGGCACGCGTGCTCCCATAGAGGGAGAAGGAAACTCGGCCCGATCACCTTTGTTTCGAGGCATTCGAAATGCTTACAACACAATGCAGCAATTCTCAAGTTCTCTGCAGACTAGCCGCACTTGCTCAATGGTTCATGCATTTTTACAACGGTTCGGTGGGATCTTCATCCCAAATATCCAGAGTTTCGAGAAAAAAAGTCAGCCAAGGCCACCAAAAGCGTCGGATCTTGGTGCTCTCCTCCCGAAGGCCGATGAAGTCATCGCCTGGCATATCTCTCAGGTGTGGGTGGCTCAAAATTAAACAACTGGGGTTACGTAGACTTTTGTCTTTGGTTCCATTTGCCAAGGTGCCATTTTGGTACATGTTTTTGACCCACAGCCAGTTGCCCTCCCCACGAACCCCGCCCCGTCTGACCCAAACCTGGAAGTTGGCATGCAGCCGAGTCAGCCAGCGATCTTCCAACGCGCTTTGTAGCTTTCATATACCCTTCCTTCTGATCCGGGCTGGACTATGCTGGACCCCGTTCAGCTTCGCAGAAAGATACGCGGCTCACACGGTGAAACGACACATTGATTTGCTCGGAATGTTGCCACTTGGATGCAAGTAAGGCGTGGTCAACGCCTGTCCGAGGATAGATCTGTCCTATTGACCTGGAGCGCTGGGTTCACTGCCGTGCCGGAGTCCGGAGTCCGGAGTCCCCAGTCCCTGCCTTGCAAGTTGCCAAACTCCTGCTCCCGAATACGAGGGTCCACGGTGATCGCTACGATCTGCTCCGGCTCGAAAGCGGAGAAGATGATGTTCCTGGCCTTGTGGTTTTTAGAAATGTCTCACTCAGTTCCCTTGCACGCCTGCGGTGTGTTGAAGGCCTTTTCACACGAACGTAAAGCCAACTTGCACGGCATCAATGAGCAAAAGGCTCTTGTTTGGGCAAAGCTGAGGCCACCTATGGGCCACAGAACCCCCATGTTGGCCTTGAAACCCAGCTGGACCGCTGCAATTTGGATGCCAGACCGTCTTTTAGCTGAGGCCACTGCGGTTTGTAGAGTTCGCTGAAACGGTGAAACGTAGAAGTGGACCTTATCCTCCTCGGCAAGGTCGCTTCAAGCATCTGCAAGCTGAATGTTCGACGAAGCACCCTGGCCTTCGGCCGAATCGACCCGCCTTCCAACAACCTCCTGTCAGCTTCCATGATTCGAGGGAGGGTAAATCACAAGTTTGCACCACACAGTGCCCTCCGCAGGCCCCCCCCACTGCCTGTCGGATATGACATTTGCATGATTTGCTCGACTCATCCGAAATTCAGAAGAAAACATCCAGGACAAAATGAGTCACAATCAAACCCGGTACTAAAATGGGTCGAAGGCCGTCGCATCTATTTATGGTTGGGATTTCCCTTACTAACCTGCATCTACCCGGGTTTTGATTGTGGCTCAAATGACTTGTCACGGCCCAGCTTCTCCAAGGACTTGCTTTACTCGGCGTCCGACAGCCCTTGCTTGCCTGCTGCCGAGCCTGAGCAAATGAGGCGATGTGTTTCTGCACTCCCGACTCCCGCTTTGCACGCATTCACATCTGCCTACAGCCAACCGAGCACCCCACTCGGTCAGCTCCATCAGGTTGTCGCCTTTCCTCTTGAAGAGACTTTTATCAATATTCCTTGCAAGTGCCACATGGATCTCCCAG